TGTTTGTCACTGGGCATCCATGTAGCCTAGGACTCTTCCCCCATCTTCTTCCTCCTAGAGACAGGGCTGTGTGTGCCCTTGTTCTTGACTCCTTTCTCTAGCACATGCTCAGTAAACATATGGAGTTAACACTTACCATGACATGTAAAATAACTGGTTGACATAATGATATCAGTCAACCCTTCATACGCTTCTTGATATCAGAAACCCTTTTGGTCTTTCTCAGTTATCTTCTTCCATAGCTATGGAGGAAAAACATTAAGAAGCACTTTACATTTCATATAATATGCATAATAAAACAGAAAGGCATAATTCTGTCTGACTTTTCCCTTTCTTGCTCTTGGTGAATATTAATGTTGTAAGAATGCTAGGCTGTGTAGCAAGACTACTGAATGTAAGTTAATAACAGTTTTGGGTTTATTGACTCCCTAGTTTTACTTTTAGGTTTAAATTAACCCCAATATAATCAATTAAGTACTGAATTTTGATGTTATTTCATTTTATTACAAATAATTAAGAATTTTCAATTACTTTAAATATTGCTTATGACTTAAGCAGAGGGTGAACTGTTGTAATAAATAGAGCTAAGTTGTTGTGGTTCTGAGATAAGACGCTTCTAATGAGGCAATTAATAAATCATTCTGAAAAAAATGTTGTTGACTTCAGATGTCTTAAGCAATAAATTTCCATGTGAATGTGGCATTTCCTCATTGACCATGTAGACTTACCCCTGAATGCTAGGAAGAAAAAGTAACAAAAAGCTGGAGAAAGGGAGGAAAGAAAAAAAGGAGGGAGTGTGCACATTGACAGTATTATGTAAAGAAACATAATTTTATAACATTATCTTGCTATGACCAGGACATGACACTTCCTCCAACTTATTACAGTCATTTCATAAATTTGCCATTTTCACTCAATCCTATAATTTGCATAGGCAGAGGTTATGCCTCTTGCTTGTTGTAATCACTAGCATAATGCTTGACCTAGAAAAATTACAATTTATCTGTATTCACTGAATCCATGACATAATTTTTATAGGTTTGACACTAATTTTTTAAAACAAACTACAGAATGTGTGACTGTTAGTGAAGTTTGAGCCAAAGATCTAATGGTACCAAAATAAGTTTGAACGTTGAAGCCAGGAGAGCCTGCCCCATACTGATTTCCAGCTTTGATTTCCTATCAAGTGATATGGTAGAGACGTCTAAAGAATTGGTACTTCAATATCTCTCCAAGTGATTCCATGTTTACCCTGACATGACAGGTCTACATGATGAAATCAGTCTACTCTAACTGATTTGACCAGTAGTTCACAAGTGAGGAAGAGTGGTAGAATGGCTAGTTCATTGTACCATAGTATAAGGGAGTATCCACATAAAGAATAAGCCCCTAATGCTATTACCCAACAAATACCCACAAATTTGACTATAGTCTACTGTGGACAACAAGGGTCTACAAAAATAGGAGAACATGAAGTGATCAAAAGAGATTTGTTTACATGTTTGGAGTCTTTTTGATCACTTCATGCTCTTCTATTTTTACAGAACCTATTATTTGCCTTGTCCTACATATGGATGTAGCAATAAGACCAATAAGATCCCTGCTATAGTTGGAATCTAGAATGTGCCCCCTCTTTTGATTATTTATTTTTTGTTAATTTGACACAAACTAGAGTTATCTTAGAAGAGGGCCTACTTCAGTTAAGATTCCTCCATCAGATTACCTGTAGAGCATTTTTTCAGTTAATGGTTGACATGAGAAGGACCAGCCCACTGTGGGTAGAGCCACTTTGGGCAGGTGGCCCTGAGTTGTATAAGAAAATGAGCTGAGCAAGTCATGGAGAGCAAACCAATAAGCAGTGTTCCTTTGTGGCTTCCGCTTCAAATCTTGCCTTCAAGTTCCTGTCTTGATTTCCTGTTTTGGCTTCCTTCCTTCAATGGACTATGGCCCAGAATTTAAGCCAAACAAACTCTCTCCTCCCCAAATTGATTTTGGTCATGGTCCCTATCACAGCCACTAAGCTAACTAAGACAGCCCTTGGTAGGCTTATACTTTGCCCATTTGTATTCCAGCTGGTGGCACTATATTGGAATTAGGGTCTAGAAGTAGATGGGCCTCTGAAAGTTATAACCTGTCCTCTGGTTTTATCCTTGCTTGCACTTTCTGAGCTGTCCTAATGGGAGGAGCCTTACCACACACACTTTTGCCACCACAACTTCCTTCCCTATCACAGTGAACTAAAACCCTCTGCAACCATGAACCAAAACAAATCTTTCTTCTTTTAATCTGTGTTTGTGGTATGGTCACAGCAATGTGAAAGTACTAACATAGTTTTTGTTTTCACTGATAAAAAACTCTGTGGGGTAGGAGAGGGCAAGATGGAGAATAGACCGATCCATTGATATAAAATGTCCTTGATAGCCATGAGAACCATGAGAAGGAAATTAAAGCATGTTCATGAGCAGAGAACAATAGAGAAGGTAGAATAGCAAGGTACAGGATATACACTGAAAGTAGGAGTGGGGAGGACTTTCTGCTGCCTGCAGTGCTGGGTTTATAAGAGAAATGATTCAGTTAGTCACTGGTGATAGGAAGCATTTGATTACTGAATTCTTAACATTACCAATCATCTGGATGACCCTTGTACATCTTGGCCATTATCAAACATCCAAGTGAGTGTGTTTAAGACAATTGGATCAAGCTTGTGACTCAGGTCAGAGAATTCAGCTCATGGTTTACACATAGGAGTCACCAGAGTAAGGTTATTTTAAAACCATGGGGTTACAGGAAATCATCAAGGGAGTGTGGAGTGCATAGAGAATGGGGAGGAAGTGTCCCAGAACATGTCAATATTGACACTGAGAGTGTGGGAGAAGGACCCAGAAGAAAAAGTATGCAGGGGGCAGTGAGCAACACATGGGCTTGGGGGAAATTCTATTATTTATTTATTTATTCTTATTTTACATATTGATCCCAGTTCCCTCTCCCTCCCTTTTTCCCTCCCTCCCATGCCCCTGACCACCCTCCCATCACATCCCCTTCCCCCACTCCACAGGGCAGGTGGTGCCTTTCAGGAGGGGGTCAACAAAATCTGTCAAGTCATTTGGAGTAGGGACTAGGCCTCCCTCCTGCCTCTAGGCTAAGGGAGTATCCCTCCATGGGGAATGTGCTCCCAAAGTCCTTTTGTGCACCAGGGATACATCCTGGTTCCACTGTCAGAGGTCCCTTAGACTGCCCAGACCTTCTAACTGAGACCCATGTTCAGGGGGTGTGAGTCGGTCCAATGTTGGATTCCCTGGGGGGGGGGTCTCATTAGCTCCTCCTTGTTCAGGTCAGCTGTTTCTATGTGTTTTTATAGCCTGATCTTATCCTCCCTATCTGCATCTGGATTCCAGTTCGGCTCAGTGTTTAGCTGTGGGTGTCCACTTCTGTTTCCATTAGCTACTAGATGAGGGCTTCATGATGGTGGATAAGTTAGTCATCAATCTCATTATCAGGGAAGAACATTTATGGTAGCCTTTCCACTGTTGCTCAAATTGTTAGTTGGGGTCAGTCTTGTAGGTCTCTGAACATTTCTCTAGAGTCAGTTTTCTCTTCAAACCTATGATGGCTCCTTCTTTTATGGTATCTCTCCTCTCTCTCTCTCTCTCTCTCTCTCTCTCTCTCTTTTTCTCTTGTCTATTCCTCCTCTGGCTCAATCTTACTAGTCCCACATGCTTTCCTCTCCTCCCCTTCTCTTTCTCCTAGCTCCCTCTCCACTCACTGCCTCCCCCACACTCCCAATATGTGAGGGACTTTGTATGAATCTCTTAGATTCCTCCTTGTATCCTAGTTTCTCTGGCGGTGTGAATTACAGATTGGTGATCCTTTGCTCTATGTTTAAAATCCATATATGAGTAAGTACATACCATGTACCTCTTTTTGTGACTGGGTTTCCTCATCAGGATGGTTTCTTCAAGTTCTAGCCACTTGCCTGCGAATTTCAAGATTTCATTGTTTTTTTTGTTTTGTTTTGTTTTTGCCCCCCCCCCCCGGCAGAGTAGTATTCCATTGTGTAAATGTGTCACATCTTTATCCATTCTTCAGTTGAGGGGCATCTAGGTTGCTTCCAGCTTCTTGCTATTGCAAATAATGCTGCTACAAACATAGTTGAACAGATGCCTTTGTTGCATGGGTGTGGATCATTTGGGTATATGCCTAAGAGGAGGATTTCTGGTTCCTGTGGTAAACTGATTCCCATTTTCCTGAAGAACTGCCATATTGATCTCCAAAATGGCTGTACAAGTTTGCATTCCCACCAGCAGTGGAGGAGTGTTCTGCTTGGGGCAAATTCTAAAGACTAATACGAGCTGTAAATTTGGGGGAGAAAGTTAATTTAAAGGTAAAATTGTCTAAAATACTGATGATAAATGCTCTCCTAAAATGGGACATGAAATTGACCATTGGGTTTGTAAGTGGCCATTTAAAACCCTGACTTTGAAATTTGCAAATAGCTGCCCTGAAAACCTGACACTTTGCTGAGGTGTTTGTTCTTTCTTAGAAAGGTCTCTTAGTCTTGGCTTTCCCACTCTGTTCTCCTTTACAGCCCCTCCCCAACCTCTGCTCCTCTCTTTTAATTTTAAATTACCATTCTTATACCATGAAACAGGTAACTGACCCTAAGCCCAAACAAGTTCTATTTTCAAGAACATCCTATTCAAGAAGGCCGAGTGCTTATTACCAAAATTGCAATGGCCCTACACTAAGATGATGTACAAATTTGAGAAGCATTCCATATTTTAAAAAAAATAAAATAATTAAAGAAATAATGAAGTCTGAGCTTTGCATTCTCATATAATAACACTCTGTTATTTGTTCCTCAGTCCATTGTGTGACCACTTCTTATGTGAATATATTAGGAGTTAGGCTTGGGAATAGTCATTGTTTATATACAAAAATTACTTTTAAAAGCTTGTGCAATTAAAGTAGATAGAATTGAAGGTACTCTTGAACTGTTTTAGGAGAGAGGATTCTGATATTTGGAAGGTGGTATTTGGCATAAACAACCTGGACCATCCATCAGTCTTCATGCAGACCCGCTTTGTGAAGACCATCCTGCAACATCCCCGTTATAATCGAGCGGTAGTGGACTATGACATCAGCATAGTGGAGCTGAGTGATGAGATCCATGAGACAAGCTTCGTCAGACCTGTTTGCTTACCCAGCCCAGAGGAGTTTCTGGAACCAGATACATACTGCTACATCACAGGCTGGGGCCACATGGGCAACAAAAGTAAGCCAGGGTCATCAGTGATGTTTGCCCTTTCAGCTCATAATGGAAAAGCACTATGCTTCCTTCTGGCTTTGAGTATCATTTCCCATTTTCCTTGTATGTCACAGTCACACGGGGTAAATACTTTGTGTTATGTTCTCTCTTCCTTCTAAGCCAGTTGTAAACATGAAGAATCCATCATAACACATAAACCTGCCCACCTGCGATGCAAACCTAAACCCCCTTTTCCACAGCTGTGACTTTCTCCAGGGAGCTCCCACCAATGTTTTGGACCTTTTATGCAAGGTGAAAACTGACAGACATCCCTGCTAGAGAGAGCAATGATTTTGGCTATCTCCTGGCAGAATTTCCCAGAGGCTATGTGGAATGATTAGGTGATTCTATTTCTGCAGTCAAGCTACACGATCACATTTTCAATTTTGTAATTGATTTGTTCTTGTCTACATATATAGTACATCCTTCTATAAAGAAATGTGATACATATCTTACTATTTAAATTGCTTAAATTTGGTTTTATAAAACAGTGAATTTTCTTTTAACCACTTACTCTCCACCTCCCCAAAGGGCATTTGCATATAGTTTGGCCTATTTAAAGTTTAGAATAAGAGCTGAATCCACAAAATAGTTACATTAGATGCAGGAGTAGGCCATGCTTCTCAGAATGGTGGTATATATTGGCCTCCTGGCATCTTGATATTAACCATGGGAACACCAATTTAAACGAATTTGTTTTCCTATTGAAATTTAATCAGATTTTTTTTAGCTGTTTCTTTTTTTGTATGATAAAAAATGATGGGAAGGATGTGTTTAAGACATCGATGACTCAAGAAAATCTTCCTATAAGAATCTTGAAAACAGTGTTGCCTTACAATGCCACCATTGCTATACATGGTGCTTTTTAAAAACTATGGTTAGAATTGTAATGAAATGAGCAGAATATACTTCATAGTATCTCTATTTGTATTCTTCACAAAATATCTATATGAACTTATAGTGATTGGGTACCATAGAGCTTACACAGCAGTTAGGGAGTAGCATGAAGACCAGGCAATGGGATTCATTCAGGAAGATCCGACTGACCTCAGCTGTGCTAGTCTCTTGCCTTCCACAGAAGGAATGAGATAATCCTGCAACACAAAGGATTGTTACACTGAGGAAAATCATTTGTTGTTCAGAAGATGCTGATGGTATAAGCCTCACCTACCCTAGTGTGAGCCATGTTGGCTGCTGTTTCAATATCATTATCATTCTGACAACTTGTTAAACTTGTACTACATCATATTTATTTTTCCCCAAATGGGCACTGCTTGCCCATTGATTCTTCAAAGAACAGTCTGTATGATTTTTCAGGATGTCCAAATAAGACTTATGAGGTTTTACTTGAAGACAGCAACTACTATTCTTGAAAAACTTTAAGCAAGACAGAAATCATATATTCTGTCTATTGTAAACAAGCAATGATATCACCCTTTTAAAATCTTTCTAGCACAGCTTCTAGGAGTAAGGGTTCAATATCAGAACAATGGCCATAGGTGCTTATATGAGGTGGGCCTCTCCCCATGAGGGTTAGCTTTTTTTCTGATCCTAGAGAGCATGACAGATATGCTGAGCTAAACACTCTGCCTTATTTCCCCCTGCACCTTTTCATTGTTAAAGCTGTTTTTCCACAGCATATGACAAGGGAGAAACAATCATCTCAACACTTCTGCCACACTAAACAAATAAGGGAAAGCTTAATAATAATAATGAAGTGTTTCAAACCAGTCTTTTCCTTGAGTTTTTTTTTTTTTTTTTTTTTTTTTTTTTTTGACAAGGTTTCTCTGTGTATCTCTGGCTGTTCTGGGATTAAAGGTGTGCACCACCAACACTCAGCAGGTTTAGAGATGATATTTAAGGGGAAAGGAAGGGTTCTCTAGGGATATGAACATATTCCTGTAATACTGTTCAATTTGTATTTTGAGTCACTTTCATGCCCTTGTGCATTTTTGTTTCTTCTTCTTTTCAAATGCAGTGCCCTTTAAGTTGCAGGAGGGAGAAGTCCGCATTATTTCTCTGGCGCAGTGCCAGTCTTATTTTGACATGAAGACCATCACCAATCGGGTGATATGTGCTGGCTTCGAGTCTGGCACCGTGGACTCATGCATGGTAAGGTGCCTTCGGACTGTGGCAGCAATCAGAATCCCCCATGACTTTGGTGTGCTTGCATAGCTCATTACAAGCCATCCCTTAGGAACATTTGTGAAAATTGTTCACTGCCAGGTGGAGGACAGTTGTGTGGGCACATCTCCTTTGATCATTTTGGTGGCTAGGGCAAGCTTAATTATTAGGGGCAAGTGAAAACCATAGCTTTAAATCCACCGCCTTAAGCATTAGGGGGACACCAGAGGACATTGCCAGGTATAACCATGAAGACATTAGGATATACATTGGCTCCCGTAGTGTGTGAAAGAACTTGTCTCTAATGTGACCACTTGAGATCTGGTGGCCTTCATTTGATTACCAGGCTGTCAAATGTCACTGCCTCCAACCTCAGGCAGGTTGTATGGATATAGCTATCTTCAAAGAGTGCCTCTCAGCAGTGTGGGGAAGGATTTCACTTCAACTTACCATTTGTTAGCTATTGTGCTGAACTGTCCCTGGGGTTCAAACGGGCAAGTGCACAAAGAGGCTGGCAACGGAGGAGCAGGTGGTGGGTTTTCCGCGCTGCTGTTCTGTTGTTTTGGAATGATCAGGCTGCTCCTCAGATTTTAGAATTAAACAGAGATAAACCATGCTTGTCATTAGCCCCACATAATTAAAGGGCATTTGTGATGGTTCAGTGTAGACCATTTTGAACATCTGATTAATGGAGGAGGGCATGTTTTATTTTCCATTTTGAGTATTTTCTACTTTTATAAGATCATTTCAATTTAAAAAATAAAATGTTTTGACATAATTAGTTTTGATACATCTTTTTTTAACCTTAAGGTTTTTTTTGGGGGGGTATGGCATTGTGTTTCATGTAGGAAGTAACTAAGTCTTCAGGTCTTGTGACAAGAACAAAAGTCTCTTTGCAAACTACTTTTAAGCTCAGAGTCCATTGTGTTTATTGGAAAGGTCTTTTTATTCAGTGGGAAGCAGATACCCTCCCAGGCTTATGATGGAAAACTTTGCTGACATTTTCCACCTCACTTAAGCTGGTTTGGACCTTTTTGTACCCTTAAGATGATAACCTTGCCACTAGATCTCTGAAACCCCATGACTAATGTCTGTTGCTATTTCTTGCAGGGAGACAGTGGTGGGCCTCTGGTTTGTGAGAGACCTGGAGGACAGTGGACATTATTTGGTTTAACTTCCTGGGGCTCTGTCTGCTTTTCGAAAGTTCTGGGGCCTGGAGTGTACAGCAACGTGTCTTACTTTGTTGAATGGATCCAAAGACAAATATATATCCAGACCTTTCTACAAAAGGAATTCCAAGGATGATCAGAGACTCAGCCAGAAACCCACACCTACAGCCCTGTTGACCATGAAGAGTGTCCTGCTGAGAGCTGCACGAATGGGCTTTTCATGGACAGGGTGCACAACACGCACTGTAGGACCTCTTGTTTGCATCACATCTGCTTTACTCAGCCGTTTTTATTATTTTTTTTAGCTTTATCATTCATTTGTTTCATGAATTCTTTCAAAAGCACAGAGAAAAGTAGGTTTTGTTCTTTCCTTAGGATAACCTTGAATGTAGTGTGGAATTATCAGCTCCCTAGAGACAATATTTGGCGCTCTATGGTAACAAGTTATAGGAAGATCCTTTTTGTAGTATCACAACAAAAACATGGAAACACACCGATGGATCTATCTCATTTAAGCACAGTGGCTTTGGGGGCAGATTTCAGAACTGACCTTCGAGACTGGCTTTTAATTCATAAAAAGCCATGATAATATACACGCTTACTTTACTAGACTCTTCTATATAACTCAGAGAAATTATGAAAGTGAGAAGACCCACAGTATTGATCTAGACAGTGAAATTGCAACACACACACACACACACATTGTGAAATTCTCTAGCCATCAAAACTGACACTCAGAAATATAATCTTACCGTTTTTGCATTCAAACTGAGGTTGTAATTTCATAGAAAATCTCTATAGAACTTTTCCCATTACTGGGCATTTTCAATGTATGTCAGTTAGGTGACTGAAATTTTTAACAACTAGGTCAATTCTTGGAGAGAAATATTTTGTTTGCTGACGTGAAATGAATGAGAACCTCTTCACTTTGGGGACAAAGAGAGAGAAGGGGGTCATTAAATGGTACCCCACCCCCAATTAAATCCTGTGTTCACTCAAATCAGAAATGTCACAGAAATATTATTTCAAAGAATAGAAAAATGTGCATGGAGCAAAACATTTTGCAATTTCCCCTTAATGATGTCTAACATCTGGTTTTGTCATTTTGCCTCATTGATAATTAAAACAAAAATTTAAAGCACTGGGTCCCTTTACACAAATCAATTTCTGAAGTAATTAGTGGTTAAAAGTATTTTTTTCCACTAAAAAGCTTCAAAATGCAAACCTTCATACATACCTAATTGAATTAGTCAGACATCAACTAATGTAACATCCAAATGCCTTTTTGAACAAGTAGGATGAACTACTAAACTTCACCAGCAACCAGACTGCCTCAGCATTCCAAACAGCGACTAACTACAATTTTATATGTGTACTTTGTACTCTTTTTCTATGTGTCAATAGAGTTCACATCCAAAAAGTTGTTTCAACCCTTATTTTCCATGTTATTCATCTCTTGTCCTGAAACTTGTTACAAGAGTGTGTACTGTGTTCAGAAGTGTATGAAGGTTTAAGACCATTGGACAATTTTGTTACAATTGTTGGCACATAATTAATAAAGAATTTTTTAGCCTTGATAGACTTACATATATTTAGTAAAATGTACGTTGGAGTTATTTTAAATAATTCTGCATACAAATAAAATGGTAATATTGTTTTCCTTGCAGAATATGGATGGAATATAGACAAGTTCCAGGAAAGTGGTTATCTCTCTGATAGCACAGTGGCACCCAGTTTCTTGTCAGCCAAATTTATGTGTTGTATAACTCACTCTCACAGGAACCTGCTCTTTTATACTAGTAACAGCTTCATCTTTAATCTTATGAGTTGCTAATAGTATTAATCATTCCTAGAGTATCCAAAGAACACCAATTCTGCTAAGAGAATACCAGTCTTCAATGTTCACAGTGTATTTTTGCAAATGTTCCTACTCTTTAGAAACTTTTTATAATAAAAATTATATCCCAGACTATTTATTACTAGTTTTCTTGGATTCCTCAAAATTTTGTGGAATATTCTAAATATGAAAATACAACAACCCAATAACTGTGCTAATTTTGCATAAAACAATTATTCATTTGTAAATTCAACATTTTAAAAGCTTTACAAAGATCTGACTCTCCTCAGCCTAGGAGTCTGGTGTTTTTCAGAAGTTTCTAAATTAAAAAAAAGTTAATCACCAAGTAATTAAATGCAGCAATACTTTTGTAGCAAGATACACAAATGATTGCATCAAGTGTATAAGTAGCTTCAGATTTTCCAACACATTGAGTTTGCACCTAATTTATGAACAAAGATGGGAGGATTTTCTAGTTACAGATGTAACATTATAGTCACATGACTTAAATCCTATATTCTTTTTTTCTTTTGGCCAGATAATTCACATCTTGAAAATGACCTTCTTCATACTCTCTTTGGCATATTCCTTTAATCTTTAGATTAAAACCTTTTATCTGCATATGAGCATTTCTTTAATGTTTATTTGGGAAATGGTGATCTTGAGGAATGAGGAATGAATTCCAGTTGCTATGGGGATGATTAATGATCTGATAAAGTGACCCCCCCCCCCCCATACACACACAGAAAAGGAGATCCAAAAAGCATTCTGGCAAAGGCATGCCTTAAGGTTTTCCTTCCCAGCTCTGGCACCAATTAGAGCTGGATTTAGGGTAGAGTTACAGGAGTGAGAACAGCTTTCAATGAACATTATTTATTAAATAATTTATTTTAAAAAAATCTTAGGGAAGTAGAAGGCAACTTCCTTTAGCCACATGATAGTGTCATAGTTCCAAAAATCAGGCTATATTAAAAAAAGACCACTAAACAATAACAAGAAGGTGCAGAAATTGACTAGGACAATACAAGCAGACAACGGGTAAGCCCTGAGAATAACTTTGCTGTAGACATTGACTTTGAGCATAGAGATTCATGAAGGAAATTCCACATGACAGCTTTCAGATGAATACAGTTTTGAAAGATGTCACCAAGAGCACATGACCTCACAGTGGCAAATTGACTCACCTGGTGTAAACTAAGCACTAAATAAAGCCAGCATCCATGATTTGTCACAGCAGAAAACTTGCTGCAGACATTTCTACCTTTAAATATGTTTTCTTCTAAGACCCCCGGGAGTCCCATTGAGCATAACCTAATCAGTATCAGTCCATATCTCATTCTGTAGAGGCTACAAGGCAGACAAGTTGTTGAGCACTGTTAGAACTATGAACACTCAGAGGGTCTCTGGGAGACTTGTTTTGAAGATGATTGTCTCATGTTGGTGTGGAGATCGTCAGTTTTGGAACTCGAGAAGTTGCTCACAGTCTGTAGGCTCAGCTGACTGTATTTCATAGCCTATTTGTCTGTTTCCTGATTGACAACACCTGCACATGGGGAGCTTGCGTCTTCTCTTAGCAGTGGACAAAGCAGAAGGTGGCCTGGCGCTGTTGGGAACCCTAGCCCTCCTCTTTCCCTTCCCTACAAAGGCTGTACTTCCGCACCATGCTGAACTGAGCAGAGGGAGCTGCTGAACACCTTCAGCCAGGAACCAAAGGCTTCTCAGGGAAAACAAAAGGCTCTTGGGAATTTGTCTCTAATTAATGAGTTTTCCTAATAAAGCAGGGCTTTTGTTTAGTTGTTTGGTTGGTTGGTTTTGGTTTTTTGAGACAGGGTTTTTCTAAGTAAATTTGGCTATCCTGGAAGAACAAGCTTTGTAACCCAGGCTGGCCTTGAACTCAGAGATCAGCCTGCCTCTGCCTTCCAAGTGCTGGCATCAAAGGTGTCTGCTACCATCTAGCTATAATGAACCAGTTTAAAAGAACTTTTTTCCCCCCCTAAATTAAAGTTTGTGTTGGATCTCACTTAAAGCATTCTCCAAATGCATGAGACTTACCTATAAAATAAGTATATTTCAAATGAATTCCTTGGAGAAGGCTTGCATTTATAAGACAATTAAAATAACATATGATCCTGAATTAAATATTCCCCTTCCTAGCACTCACTCTGCTGAGGTCAAACACTAGCCCTTGCTTACAAATGTGCACACAGGTATACAACTGCAGATATGGTATTGGGTTTTCCAGGCCCAGCAAAATGCTGATATCCCTTGTAAAAAACACAAGTGATCCTCACTGTTGAGAGACATTTCCTCTGAATCCTTCCAAGTGTGAAAGATCACTGGCAACTCTAAGCAGGGTATCCTGTGTTGTTAACATGCTGAGGGCTCAGTCACCTTTGAGATGCTTGTTTCAGAGTAGCCAGCATCTAGCATAGTCTCACATGTAGGTATGTCTTCTTGCTCAACAGCACAGGCTGTTGCTGACTTCATTGGAAGGGCAGTGGAAGGGCCAGCCCTGGGTGTTCCTGAAACAGCAGCTGGTTGGCTGGCACACTTAGATACAACTTGAGTCATCTTTGTAGTCCCTCTCCACTTCTTGAGAGCTTCTGCCCTCTCCTCTGGAGCTAGTCTGTCCAAGTACATGGCTCTCAGAACTGGAGATGGGAACACAGATCCCTGAAGAACTCGGTATAGAAACCTAGGTTACAAAGAACATCACAGAATTACCTTCACTTCCATTCCATCATGAGACCCACTGAAATATTAACCAGTTAAAAAAAAAATTAAGAGCCTGATAGGCACTTGGCTTCTGAGAGAGGAAGGTAAGTAAGGTATAAAATGAAGATTAAAATAATATTAAACCTGGGGCTGGAGAGATGGCTCAGAGGTTGAGAGCAATGGCAGCTCTTCCAGAGTTCTGAGTTCTATTCCCAGCAACCACATGGTGGCTCACAACCATCTGTAATGAGATCTGGTGCCCTCTTCTGGCATGCAGGGATACATGCATGCAGAACACTATACATAATAAGTAAATAAATCTTAAAAAAAATATCAAATCTGGCCTGGGGGTAAGCCTCTATAAATCAAATGCTTGGAAGGTTAAATTAGAGGGATAGCCATGAATTCAAAGCCAGGTTAATCTTGTGGGTTCCAAGTCAGCTTGGGCTACTATACAAGGCCATGATTTTAAACTCAATAATTAAAATATTTAACAAATTAATAATTGTAAAGCACTCGGCAAACAATAAATACTCTCTCTGCTTGCCAAATAAGCAGAAAGGTCTCCCTCTTCTGTTGTTACAAAGACAATGAGTTTTGTAGGGGAAAGCATTCAAAGCATGGAAGATTCCTCTACATATGAATATGGCTGCTGTCAGCAGATCCATAAGCCTCGCCCACAGGAAGCATCTTCAGGCATGGGATAGTTGATGTGCACTCTAACAAGGCTATGAGGGCTTGGCTCTATCACCTTTGCCATATGTGGGTGAAGCATTAAGGTTTCATTCCCAATTGAGAATCGCCAAGACTGCCAGGACCTTGATGTGGGACTTCCCAACGGCCTGAGCTACGAGTGCATTTCTGTTTGTAAGGTACCTAGTTTGGGTATTCTATGGTACATGTAAGCACAGACTGAAGCAAGGGCTAGGAGATGGCAGAGTGAATGATAGGGGATGGTAGGTCCTTGGATAATCCCATAAGGCAAAGTTTCTTTCTTCCTATGAACTGTCAATCAAATTGGACTTTTTCATGACAGGTAAATATAGTTTTCACTTGATTAATCTAGTTCTAGTCTATGGCACAATTGAAACCAATATTTTAGCTAGAATGCAGGCTTCCTCCCTACTGAACAAGGTGGTCCACCATTCATTCTTAGTAGTTACTTGAAGCCTATGATTCCATGTACTTGTTCTCTTGGGGGAGAAAACATATTACATACCTGGGCAGAAGAGCTATGCAGGTTGTAAGAACACATACTAAGTAGAACACTGGGTCCAGCATGTGCTTCTGCATAATCCAGTAGGGGTTGGATGGTGGGTTGCAAGTTACACACAAAGCTCCAAAAGCCAAGGCAAAGAAAAAGTAGGACAAGATGCTCCCAACCATGACCAGCATGTGGATCCAAGTCTACAAGGCAAGAAGGGCCAGGAAAGGAAGTTTTACTGGTGGTGTATTGCAACCTGGCAAAACCTGCTCCATTAAAGACATAGTACAACAAGCTCTGAGTGCCTCATTCTACATACCTTACCATGTAAGACACAAGCTATCAAGTGCATAAAGGAAGAGCATCATTCATGAATTCTACCACCAAATGAATTCTACAAAATCAAACCAAAAGTCAATGGCGATTCTGTTGATTTAATTAGTTTAATTTGTTTGGATTTCCTTTTTCCTTTTTTATACAGTCACTCATTGATTTGATTATGGGATTACTTTAATTCAGTAATCTTCAAACGTCAGCCATTCACATATACAGCAAGCACTACATTTGCTCGCCCATACTCTTATTCTCGCTTGCTCAGCATTCAGGTGGTAGCTCTCTACTCCCTTTCAATGAAACACATTTCAGCGAATGGGAAAGGGATGTTTGGAACTCTAAGGGAAAAGCTTGTAAGAGCGCCTATGCCTTCTTCCATGTTACTGGGTGTAGCATGCATCACGCCCAACGGTGTACATACTACTGGTGTCATGGGCCTGGGATTTCCTTCTATAGGAAACACTGCCTTCATAAATCTCGTTTCTAGGACTGTAATTTTCAAATACAGTCCAATTGACTCTTACTTTGTTTCTAATTATGCAAAGTATTTCCCCACAGTAGATATCTTCCAGAAGTCACAAAGATTGCTCATATTTTATAAAATATAGAAGCTGCTCAGAAAATGTTGGCTAACTCCTTGATTTAAAATGTCATGCCCCAGAACAATGGGTCCATCCCCCCCCCCCCCACTTATCCCTCCCTCCCTCCCTAGAACTAGGTCTAGTTTTCTCTCTCTCTGGTTATGTGCTTTTGCAAGTGAGATGGTGACATTACAGCTCACAGTTATGAATGAGTTGCCCAGAAGTGGGAGGTGACCACAACACAGTGAGCCAGAGTGTGAAGGACATGTGTTCCAGGAACTCCAACTGGCTGACTTTTCCCCAAAAGAGACTGTGATGTCCATGAGCTCTGGTCGCACATCCTCCGGTAGGAGGGATACTGCACTTCTATGGCGACACTACTGCATTTTCAGCTTCATTCTCTTTCTTGGAGACAACACTCAACACTGAGTATAGTGCTGGCAACATACTCCTCTCTTGCTAAAGCCTGTGGCTGAAGCCAGGGAGACAGGATTCCATCACCGGCATCTAGGACTGCAGCACAGGGAGGCAAGAACAGAAAACAATGCATGCAGTTGGTTCAGACCAGTGTGTATCCTGCCAAGCACATCCATTGGTTTCCACTCCCTGGCCCTCTGCTGACTCCTTGGGAATTTTGGTTTTTGGCCCATGGTTCCTCAATATAATTTTCAGAACATTTCTACTTGCCTAAGTTATCCATAATGGACTATTGTTTCTTTTAGTCAGTGAACCCCAACTGGTATACACAAAGTGTCAGTTCCTCTGGAACACACAAAGGTCAGAGTCTGTGGCAAGGCTTTTGGCAGAACCAAAAGTATCACTAATAATTGTTTAAAAGAGTTCAAAGGAGACCAAACAATAGTTTTTGAATTTCTTTTAGCCAATCTGGTATTTGCATATATTAACATGTTATCACACTTGGGGCTTAGAAGATTTAGTTACAGATCATTTTGCATAGGCAAAGCAAATGATGACAAAAAATAGACATTTGATCCTACTTTATAGCTTGTTAAAATAATTCGATAATGTAGCACTGTATCTTTTAAATCACAGTTTCATTCAGTGAGTTCCTGTTTGAAATCCATTTATTTTCCCAGATGATAAATAAACTCCTTAAGTGGTCAGGTCACTCGTGGGTTTTTTGACCACTTACTCTGAGTCAGTCTTATCTCCCACAGTGGCTTACATGGTGAACAAAATAAGCATGAACCCTGACCTCACACAAATCATAGTTTGATGCAGAAAGTAAACCTGAACCAGATAATTCCATAATTAAATGAGTAACTATAAATTCTCTTTAAGCTTATGAACAAAAGCAGAGAATAAAATGAGATAGTAGACGATTCAGGATTCAGGAAAGGTTCTAGAGGGAAGGAGTGCCTGCTAAGGTATGCAATGATTTAAAGTAGCATTTTGAAGTTGGTAAAACTTCAAGAATACAAGAGAAATCTGAAAGTATCCCCACATAATAGATAACAGCAAGTACTGAGGTTCCAATGTGACAAAGAGCTCAATGCATGTGAGAAGTTGGAAGATGGAGAATGTGGAGCATGCTCTTGGGTAAGAAAATGAGGCTGGCACAGGTTAAGAGTCCCACTGCATGACATCTTATAAGCTTTATTGAGGGCCTCAAGCATAATAAAAAAAAATAAAAGAATTTTGCTCAAAGAAATGAAAAATACTTTGGATTGTCAAAGAGCATAAAGTCCTTATTTACTAAAGTTAACAGAGAGGGAATGGAACAGAATATCGTTTATTTTAGTGCAAAGCCATCAGCTTGGTCTAACAGCCTACTGAGCATAGCTGGTGTTTCCCTGTCCCCTGACTCACACCTCTGAGAAGAACCTACCAGTGACAGAAAAAAAAATGTCCCAAATGACCCTTTGTCCGCAGGACTGTTCCTCATACCAGCACTGAGCTTACAGCCACAGAGGGCTCGGCAGCTCTGCTGACAGAAGACATACCCCCAGGCAGAAGGAGGACACTCACCAGACTCTTGCTTTCTATCACCAGGTGGAGGAGAATGATGAACAGAGCTGCTGTGTTCAGGGGATTCCCAAATGTAAAGATGTCGATGTCAGAGTCTTGGTAGGTCTACAAGAAGGCAACAGGCAGCGCGTGTGAGGAACTGCACACACTTGTGGTCTAACACCATTTTATCTATAGCTCAAATGTGGCTTGAGTGTTCTCTACGATAGCTCAACTAACTAACCTGTCACTTAGGAAGAAAAGGAACACCATGAGAAAAGAGACTGGCTTTCCCGGATAGGCTTCTCTATCTGTGTTTTGAACTTTCAGGTGAATCCCTCTTCATTCTGAATCATGAGTGATCTTTCTGGAAGCTTTTGTTCATAGTTTCAGCTCCTAACGGCACACAAGCACATTGAATATGTTCCACTTAGTTGTAACTACCCTCAGCTGATGAGTCGAGGTAAACATGCCCTTCCTCTCACCTAGGCATCTTGAAGTCCTTATGCCAGCTCTCAAACGATGCACTTCTCTCAGTATGCCCTTTTCTGGAAGCCACTTCCAACTGCTTTGTCCAACTTCCTCTTGCAGAGCAATATAGTAAAAGTATTCAAAGGAGCTAATTTAAGTGATTTTGTTTGAGCACAGCGTAGAAACTGTCAGCCTAGTGAGTACCACCATTTTTACTCTGTGCTGTACTCTGTCAACGCACTCTGAGATCACACACGTGTTTCTTTCTGGAATGATCAAGGTGCAGACAGCTGCACTGGTTCTGCTGTGCTTGGTGCCAGTCTAGACTTTTTAAAATGAACTTTTACACATACTTTGCTTAGTTTCTGCTTGTCTGTTAAATGTGGTTCTTATTAAGTTCTGAAGATATTTCTTACAAGTGCTTAAATTTAATATTCCAAGTCTTAGCCTGATAGAATTAGCCCAGTACTTACTACTACTAATAAAAAAAGCTCTTCTATTTCTGATACTGCTCAGTGGGTTTTGGCTAATTTATTTACATAGCCAGAATTTAAATTTTATTTAAGCCACTGACAAAACTTAGTAGACAGATTAGCGTTAATAAGACACCCAAGAGCAATCAACTAGGCACTTAATTGAATCCATTACCTAACATATTGTGAGGGTTTATACACCAATCAAGTAACAGTCGGTGGGAAGCACAGTACACAGTAGGACCACTAATTCATTCAAGGGAAGTACATGAGCAAACAAAGACTTACAAAGTAAGGCACAAAAAAGCAGACCAGACTTTGATAAAAGGCATCCAACAAGGTGATCCAGAAGGTGAGAGGTGAGTATGCCTGGAAATGAAACACATGTTGGAGAGGAAGTAAAATTAGCAAGGGTCAGGGCAACATAGCAACCCTCTGGTCCTTCGTTCTCTACTTCATAAAATACTACGCCGTGTGAGCTAAGACAAGTTCACTGTTGAATGTGGAAGGAAAAGTAACAAACCAAAGGAACTTTTTCTCAACTTACTTGATCCATTTTTTTAAAAATTCTAATTTCATTTGAGCTTTTTGAGAGTTTTCCACATGGATTTCCAGAGTGGCTGGAACAGTTTGCAATCCCATAAACAGTGGCCGATGGTTCCCTTTCTCCTTGAAACCTCTCTAGCATTTGTTGTCAGCTGTTTTGTTGCTCTTAGCCATTTTGACTTGGATAGGATATAGAAGTGCATATATGCCTGTGCATATATACACATATTTATGTACATATGTAACCATAGCCACTAAAAAAAAAGATACCATGATTTTGAGAGGAGAAGGGGTGGGAATGGGACAAGTTGGAAGGAGGAACAGGAAGGAGAAAATAATGTAATTATATTTTAATTTAAAAAATAAAATCTACTTTATCATGGATCAACATGTATGTACACATGCATGTGTGTTTGTGCAAATTAGTGCACAATCATGAGTGTGCGACTATGTGCATTTGTGTGCTTACACACATGTACTGTGTTTGTGTGCATCGGTGTGTGCACATTGTGTGTGTGTGTGTGTGTGTGTGTGTGTGTGTGTGTGTGCTGCTTCTGTTTGGAATTAATTGAACTATGGGGCACACATGTTAAACATGTACTCTGCCACTGAGCTACATCCCAAGTCCTCTCGGATCTGGTAAATACCTGAAACAGGGCTAGCTAGTTGTAGTAATATCCATCCATCAGAAAGTACTATTCAAAAACCTATCCATATCTATCACTTATCTTTGCTTACACTATTCCTACACCTCCACCATTACCATCAGGTAGGCCTACGAATGGCTGGATAGCCATCTCAACTGCCTTCTATGCTTTCCTTTGTAACCCTCAACCCAATCTTTCTGCATATTATAATGTGAATATAAAGTCTCCTCCAATCATCTTATGCATTCAAACTTGGTCCCAGCCGCTAGCCCATCTGTTAAGAAGTTTTAGAATCTAAGTGTGAGTCCTGGCTGGCAGAAGTAGGTCAACTCAGCTCTTCTTTTTCCTGCCCAGGTGCTGAGTATTTAACTCTCTCTGTACATCTGTACCCCACCCCCATTTCTCTCTCCTTCCTGTCCCTTATAACATGACCAGCCACAAATACACACACACACACCTACACACACCCCCACACACACACAGACACACACACACACACATATATATCCCTCCACATTTAAATTGCTCTGTCAGGTATTTGATTAAAATAACGAGGAAAGTAAAACAAACAAGTAAATAAAACAGCATAAAACTAGCAGAACTGAAATCACCAGGGAAGTTTGAATCAAAGCCAGTTCATCATTCTACTTTCACATTAGTCAGAATGGCCATGATCAGGAATACAAATGACAACAGATGGTGGAGAGGGCACCTTTGTACACTGTTGAGGGTTGTAAATTAGTGCAGCCACTTTGAAAATCAATCTGGAGGTTTCTCAAAAAACTAGAAATAGAACAAGTGTATGACCCAGCTCTAGAACTCCCTGGAAAACCTCAAAAGACTTTACTTGGTACCTCAGAAATACTTGCAAGTCCTTGTTCACTGCTGTTGAATTCACAGAAGCTAGAAAATAGAACTAACCTAGATGTTCATCAACTGATGAGCGGATAATGAAAATATGATACATGTCCACAGTGAATACTGCTCAGTCATAAAGAGAAACGGAATCAGAATTTTGTAGGTAAATGGATGGAACTTCAAAAAATTATACTCAGTGAGGTCACCCGGGCTCAGAAAGACAAATGTCACACGTTCTCCCTCATGTGGTTTCCAGTGTTGATTCTTTCTTTGTTTGATTAACTTGGAATGCATGTGGAAGTTAGGTAATGAGAAAGGGGACATTGGGTAGTGGACACATTAAAGGAGGGAAGATGGCAAACTAAAAATTACTGGGAGTGGAAAGATTCAAATATGGGGTGGGGGGGTAGAAGGGTTAACCAAAATGAAGGATGCATGAAAATGCTATAGGGAAACCTATGATCTTGTAACCCAAGTAAAAAAATCCAATCAGAAAGACAGTGTACACAGGTGACATGAAACAACAGGGCATGCTCTGGGTTAAAGGGTGGGAGAGGGGACACCAGAGCATGGCGGGTAGGGGGTGGTCTCACCAAGACTGGAGATGTATGAAGAGTCTTAAAAAAATCCACTAGTTTGTAAGCTAATTTAAAACATAGTTAAAAGGAAATTGAACCAAAGTTTCCTACATGGGCAGACAATGCTACTCCCAGAAGGCATAGTTTACTAACTGAAAACTCAGTGCTAGGCACAGGATACTGTCCTGTGAGTTCTTAGTCACAGAAGCTCCAAGTGCACCAAAACAGCACAGGCTACTTCCATTGCCCTCAGTTGTCACCGTCATTAGACAGACCCTATTGCTGAAGATACCACTCACTCTGGATACAAGGCATAGATACACCAACCCCAACTGAACAGGAAGCCCTCTCTTTACTGGCTGTCTTACACAGTGCCAGAAGATGTAATGCAGGCTTTTCTGGGAGAAAGGAAATCAAGGATCGTAGCCAGCATGGGAAAGTGCATGCTATAATACCAATCTACAATGAAGTATTCACCGAGACAATAGTGGCACGAACAGTTTGAGGGGTAACCAATCACTTTTTTGATTGAATATCTGTGTGATCCAGAGGAGGTGTTTCAGGTTTGGCGCTGTAAACCTGGGAGATGGTAACCTGGGAGCCTACTGTTGTTATGTTGAGTATTCATGCTGTCAAACTGTATTCTAAACATCTATGTTTATACCTACAAGTGTGTGCTGCTCTTGAGTTTGGTCTGAGGCAGTGTTAAGAGCTAATGCAGAAAATCTTAACTGTTCTGATTGCCAAGTATAAGTTAACCCTGAATTCTCAGCTGTGGATGAATTATCTATCCCATCAATGGCTTAGGGGACATCTAAGAAGAATGGGCAGAAAGACTGTAAGAGAATGAGGAGGGCTGGGAAATGCCAACATGGCTGTTGGATGCATCACCTCACAGCAACTGAAATTACATCCACAATATCAAGCCCACAGAAGAACCACACCAGAGAAAGAAGGGGTCCTTGAGGCTCCAGTCCTGGTAGAGGAGCTATTGACAGTAGAGGGCTCTACTTTGAGGACAAAGCAACTAATAGATTGCATCACACCCACTCGCATTGGGACAGTACTAATTGGTTTGGGATTACTAGTAAGAACAGAAAAATGGAAAACATGAAGTTAGTGGGAAGCCAAGTGGGAACACTAGGAGAAACTGAAGTGAGGTAATGATGAGGTGGGGTGTAATAAAGATACACTGTATAAGTGTACAGAGTTTTCAAAGAATAATAAAATTATATACATATATATGTATTATGTGTGTATACCTATTCATGTATACATATATTATATTATATATACATATGTGTATGTATGTATATCCACTACACAGTACCAGCCACTAGGTTTTTCTGAAAATGTTAGTTCATGACATCTTCCTAATTGATCAAATTGCCTCATTTTAGTCACTCCAATGATTCCCACTGAATTTCCAATATAACTGAAGTTCCATTCTGTGACATATCAGGTCCATTTCGATTGATAATGTTTTCACTATCATTCCACAGCATGGAAACAGCTATGTCTCATTTCCTCCAGTCTATCTTCCCTGCTGGGAGGTCTTTCTTTGGCCTCCCACATGACTTGTTCTAATTTTCTAAATCCCCAATATCCTCTGCTCACAGAGGCATATCAGACTAACCTAAAGATATCTCCACCCTATCATTTACTAGCATGGCATCACAGACAGTCTCTCCTATCAGAAAAAAAACTGCTAAGCATATTTTTGTCCTCAAATTGCAAGGTTCAGAGTGGAACTCTGGATTTTGTATTCAAATGACTGAAACAATACTTCGCACAAAGCAGGTACTCAAGAACTATTTACTAGGCTAGCTATTGTTTATTAACACCAAAGCTTGCTGAAAGAGAAAGACCAGGAGCAACAGTAGCCAAACAACTAAAAATGGGTTCTCACTCCAGCATCAGCCCTGATTGGATGGTGGTGACATGAGTGCAGATGCGCTGAGACCCAATAGAAGGGAAGACTATTGCTTCTTTGGCAGGTGTGCACAGGAAGAAAGGAAGTACAAATATCATATTCCTGATATTGTCATTTTTTAGCATGCCCTTCTTAGTCTTTCTATCCCAAATGTAAACAGACAGAAATGTCCTTGGGAAATATTATCATCCACTAAAGAATAAAGCTTTATAAATATACACATGACACATATACCTTCTCTTATCTTTCAAAGAACTACACTTTGAGGATTTATATAATATAGTTCTCTTTCCCTGTCTTTATCTTCTGTAAAATCCAAAAACAAAGATTTGTTGTTTCCCTGAATCTTCTTTTACTAGTCCTTTACTGGAAATGATGGGGATATTCGGGGCCTTTCATCACCCAAGTGTTCACAAAATCCCATCAGCAGCATGGTCCACAGCAAAAGCAAGTATTTCTGAGACAAAGGAGCACCCAAAATGTCACTGGAACATAGGACTTGAAATAAGCCAGTGTTGAGCCAGGCCCCACAGATAAGTGGAGTGGAGATGAGAGCCATTGAGATCACTTCTGTCCCGTGTGACTCTAGACACTGGAGAATTAACTTGGGCTTGGGAAACAGACTGAGCCAATTTCATATCCTGGTCCTGTCATTTAGCTCTGCAAGTTTGGGGGAAATTACTTAATACATCTGAGGTTCAGATTCCTCATTTTGGAATGGGATAAACACTATATTCTGTCTCAAAAAGAGTAAGATAAATGAGGCAGGGAACATTTGCTGGGTACCATAACAGGTTGTGCAGCGGGGTTTAACAGTTTAACAAATGTCAGCAGCCATTAGCAAGGTAGCAAATTCTGAATTTCTTCTGATAAGTCCATAAAAACTTTTAAAGATTTATGCTGATACCACAGACCACTGACTTAACATCTGTCATGGGAATATAGAGTAGTGGGTTGTGGGTTGTGACCCCTTTGGGGAGTTGCATATCATCAGATACTTACAGTGCAAATCACAACAGTAGCAAAATTACAGTAATGAAGTAGCAATGAAATAATTGTATGGTTGGGGGGTCACCACAACATGAGGAACTGTATAAAACGGTCCCGGCATTAGGAAGGTTGAGAACCACTGGCATAGGGCATTGAAAGCAACTGGGCAATGCTCAGTTGTTCTGACTACCCTATAATATGTGGGCCTGGCTGACTGGAAACACGCTGGCTGTCCTGTCACCGTGCTATGCATCTGCTGGCATGTTTCTGTTGGACACTTACCTCTGAGTGCTGACCACTCTGGTAAAGTTCAGGCAGCTGCAGGAGGGTCTCCGCGGATACGTCTTTCTCCAGCACGCCATAAATGATGGGGGGCACAGATGTGAAGAGGAGGTTGAAGAAGATCAGAACCCAATAGTCAGTCATAGATGTTCCTGAAAACCCACAGAAGAACTGGTACCAGAAGAGGAGGTTCACGTAGGCCTGGGGACACAAAAAAAGACGTCCAGAGCTTAGAGACATCAGTGTGCACTCAGAACACATCCCACACTGCATGTCTGGGTCCTGTCCCATCAGACTCTCTTCAGCTTTGTTAACCGCAGATGAAGAACACAACTTACCATGGACTTCTTTAATTTTGTTTTCCTCTTAGTGAGAATCTTAGCAAACTATACACATTCTCATGCCAGCACTATGTGGCACTGGTACTATTCTAAATAATTTACAAAGAATTCATTTAATCTTCATAACAACTTGGGAATTCCTGTTGCTGCCATTTTACAGACGATGAACTAAATACTCTTGTACCTTCAAAATACACACTCGCAAATCTTAGTCTCCATCATGATGATGTTAGGAGGGGAAGTTAGAGGGTAAAGTATTTAGGTCATCATGGTAGAGCCAGCCCGTGTGAATGGGATTAGCATTTCTATAAAACACACCTCTAAAGGCTTTCCTCTCCTCAGATGTAGATGTAGCCAGACAGGATCATCACCAAAGACCAACCACACCCACTCCTTGATCTCAGACCTCTGGTCCCTAGACTGCTGAAAGTTTCCATTGTTATTACTGTGGTACTTCATTATTGCAGGCTGAATAAACTATGTCACTGAGACAGAAAGAGAAGAAGAAACTTTACCAAAGCGACCCAGCTGCTTATTTGCCATGTATGTGGCAGAGCTGAGGATGATTTTGCTCTAGATAAAAAGAACAAAGACCAGTGTCTGGCTCAGAGAAGGCACACCACACGCTTGTTTTTCCACCTTCCTGCCCAGTTATTTCTATTCTAAGTGGAATGGTGTCAACTGAGTGGCCAACATCCAGTTATCCCGAGAGTGAGACTGAGAGGTTCCCAAAGCAGGGGATTCTCATGCTAAAATCAGATGGTCCCTTGAAAAACATGGGTAGGTGGCAACCCTGGAGGTCATCTTTCCTCTGGCACTGCACCTTTAACTTGGCCAGTGCAGCAAAACCCGGTTGCTTTCAAGCAGGGCAAAGGGATTAGCACTGGACTGAGGTCCTGGAGGTTGTTTCTTATTTCAGGAGACATCTGCTATTTGACTCACTTTCTAAACCTCTGCAAAGTCTAGTTTAATCCTGTGTACAATCAAAAAAAAATTATATTCCCTTAGGGCTAGCCATCAAAAATAAGTGCCCAAAACCTGTGAAGAGTCTAACAAATATTAAGGTACTGGGGGATTTGTTAGTTACTTTAGCAGTATTATTATTATTATTATTATTATTATTATATTGCCAAGGTTTAAAGCTCAGGCTGGCCTCCAGTTCCATCTAGGGCAGCCACCTCCCCATGTTTCCCAAGAGGCCATACAATTTTAGCGAAAGATGACCTTGAACTTCTTTTACTTGTGTGTGTGTGTGTGTGTGTGTGTGTGTGTGTGTGTGTGTGTGGGTGTGGGTGTGTAGGTATGGTGTATGTGCACACACTGTGTGCAAGTGGAGACCAGAGTAGAGCATCAGTACCCTGCTCTATCACATTCTACATCACTCCTTTGAGACGGGGTCTCTCACTGGAATTGGGAGCTACACTGGCAATCAGTCCAGCGATCCTGCCTCCACCCACAACAGTGCTATGGTAACAGGAGTACATGACCAAGCCCAGCTTTTAAAAGTGAGTTCTGTGGATTTAAACTCAGGTTATCTCCTCTATCCAGCTCTTACCTACTGAACCATCTCCCCAGGCTGACCTCAGTGTTCTGGACCTCCTGCCTCTCCACTGAGGTGCGAAGACACCAGCATGCACTACCACACAGGCAGTTTATGCAGTGATGGAATCCAGCCTAGGGCTTTGTCCATGCTATCCAAACAGTCTTCTGAACTACAACCCCAGACCACCAAAGAGCAAGACACTGCTGTCACTAGCACCATAGAAGCACCACAACACCTTAGCACATGGCCATACAACTTAGGAAGAAAATCTTCCTAACTAGTTTTCAGAGAGAGGCATTATGGTCATTTCCTACAAATCTATCCAGTTTGGATACATGTAGTTTGGGGGCATTACTCTTGAGTGTGAGCCCATCGTATTCATTAAGAAGTCATCCAACATCAAAGAAACAGTCTCAGGAATTAAGCCACTTTAAAGACTTCTGGTCCTCACAAAGATCCGGGTGACTTATAATTTACAATGTAATTACTGTTTGGGTTGGTGAATGGAGGGTATACATTAAATCTAGAGTGTAAGTGACCATCTGTAGACAGACAGCAAAAAGTAGTGCATCCCCTGGTATGTCCTGCCTTCTAACTAAAGTGCCCTCCATCTCTAAGACTATGGTGTCTCTTCCTAATATTTGTGTTTCTCAAAGGTTGGGTTTAATAAGGGCTAAAAACAGGAGGGAAGGATGGCTTACCACAATAATAATAAAGATAGAAAATGCAAAGATACTGGCAGGGGGAATACTTGGGAGAGTTCTATCTAATAGTCTTTCTAAATGTCCTTTCTAAAGGCTACAACGTCTTGAACTTTCCCATGAGAAGTCACAGATTTCTCCAGTTAAAGACTAGATATTTTAAATATTTTTATAAGGCATTTTAAATAAATGTGCTACTTTGATTTAGAAAAGAATCAAGAGCTTTCTAGAAGTTCATTGTACTGCAAAGAGAAGACCCACCATGACTCATAAACACAGACCTAAATTACACATTGAGCCATATCCTAAAGAGGATAAATGCATTTTCCCTAAAAATGCTATTTGAATAGTGTGAGCCAATGTATGTCCTTTGCTAACATGCTATGCTTTTTTTTTTTCTTGTCAGTTCTTTAATGCTTTTAAAGGCCAAGAAGTCCAGCCTAAAGACCACAATGTAGCTGCACAGTCCACCTAGAAAAATGAGTCAGCCTAAGTCAGCATGAGTATGTAAGAAAGAAAACTGAAGTCCAGCATTTCGCTGTCTGTCTACAACCCTAGTACTCAGGATGCTGAAGTAGGGGGATTATTACAAATTTGAGGTGAAAATCAGGCCATCCAGGGCTTTATAGCAAGACACCACCTGAAAAAAAAAAATTATAGAATAAAAAAAAAAAAAGTAGGAAGGAAGGAAAGGAAGAGGAAGGGAGGGAAGGAGAGAGAGAGGGAGGTATGTGTAATTTAAATGAAACAAGATTAGACACCAGGATTTTCAAGCAATTTCTGATTATTCCAAGCAATAATCACACTAAAGTTCCATGACCACAAAAATATCTACTAAGCATAAAGACACTTTTAGTGAGGTGGGTAAAAAAAATCCTTGCAGTTGGGTTTTCATCTCTGTCCTTGATGGAGTATAAGAGCCATTATTTGGGAGCAGCAGGTTTATTTATTTACTCGTTTATTAACTTATTTGCCATTCCCAATACCACAGGAGCAAGCCTTCTCATTTTCTACTGACAACTTGTCACTATCTGTTTATAGAAGGTCAAAACTGGATTTTAAATGAGCCAGTCAGGACTTAATGCAATGTCAATGCTCAGGGAGCAGAGTGTGGCAGCAGATGGACAGGCCTAGCAATTTGTTGTCAACAGTTCAAACACACACATTCCCAGATTATTTCTGGAAAGACATGAGAACAGGTTCTGGCTGTTCTCCAGGTAGTAATTTGAACACATCCAGTCATCCCTGAGGCAACAAGAGTAGAGGCTGGATTTGAGAGGCAGTGGCAAATGTCTCAGTAGGTACATACCACATTCTTGTAGAAAAAATAGAGAATCATGTTGGAGAGTCGTGTGTAACACCAGTGCCCATGCACAAGAAGGAGCTTGCTGAGATGTCTAAACTGAGAGATAGCAAAGTCACTGGCCATCACGGCCTGCAAAGGAAACAGGGAGAGAAAATTATCCTGAGCAATGGAACATGCTAGAACACACACAGTCTAGCAGGTATAGCACGACCATCAGTTAATCCAAGTCAGTTAACTTACCTCCCAAGTCACTCCAGAGAGACTATACATATACACATGCACACACACACACACACACATATACACATACATACACACACATACACACACACATGTAAACACACATACACATACACATACAAACACACATAGTCACACCTTCCTCATTCTCATTCTTTCATGTCTCCTTTCCTTTCTCTTCCTTCCCCATCCTCTATATTCTTCATGTCATGTATTCATCATAGGAGATGGTGAAATTTGACAAAGCTATCTGATGGGAGATGTCATTCTGTATATGTTTCTCATACTGGTTAATAAATAAAGCACTGTTGGCCAATAGGAAAGGAAGATAGGAGGGACTAGGAGACAAGGAGGAAATAGGAAGTAGGAAGGAGGAGCCAAGATGGAGAGTATGGAGAAAGCAGTATGCCGCCGGCTCCCCGGTAAGAGAAATACATAGATCAGCAGAAATGGGTTAATAATTAAGACAGAGCTAGCCAATAAGAAACAAGTAACCAGGCCAACAGTATTGTATCAAATACAGAGTCTCTGTGTAGTATTTGGGGCTGGTGGTGTGGCGGCGGGACAAGACCAGCGGCGGCAGGCGGAAAAACCTGTACACCTTACAGCTATCACATGCCTACAAATTGAAATTTTATTATGTACGTAAGCTTTTAAAAACCAGAACATACGAACACAGTAGAAATAGCCAGGACCACACAGTATTCACAAATGGCCAGCGGTAGAATGGATGAAAGTCCAGCCTCTCTCACTTTTAACCCCACAATGGTTTTATCAGTCAGATATTTCCTTTAGTAGGCAAGATGGTCATGGTAGTTAGGTCTGCATGCACTCACCTGCATGCCTTCTTGACCTGAGACACCTATCCCAATGTCGGCCACTTGTATCATGCTAACATCATTAGCGCCATCACCTGCACGAGGCAAAGAAAACACAAGACACATGTGAGGAGCGAACTGTAATCAAGTGACTATTCAAGAGAACACACTGGTCCTCTGAGGTCTATCCCACCTTCCAGAGTTACTTGGAAACTGGTTAAGCAGAATTCAATGTAGCATCTCACTGCTGTCAGAAAAAATTCCAAACTCAATGCTGCCTTCAAATCCTTCATGTTGCCTATCATAGGATTTTATGCAGTGATAAAATGCCATGGTCAAAAGAGCAACTGGAGGAGGGAAGAGCTTCTATCACCTCACAGATCATAATTCATAACTGAGGGAAGTCAGAGCTGAAACTCAAGGCAGGAACCTGGAATCAGGAGCTGATGCAGAAGCCATGGAGGAGTGTGGCTCACTGGCTTCCTCTTCCTAGCTTGCTTGGCCTGCTTTCTTATACACCCTAGGACTTATTTCCCAAGAGTGGCTGGACCCTCCCAAATCAATCACAAGTTAGGAAAATTATCTGTAGGACTTGCTTCCAGACAAACCTTAGGGACACATTTTCCTAATCAAGAATCTTCTTCCCAAATAACTCTAATATATGCTAACTTGACAATAAACTATCCAGGACACCGTGAGACCATCATAGACTGGTCCATCCCCTAGACTGGTCCATCCCTTAGATTTTTGTGTCATCATTCTACTTTGAATTTTCTAGATACATCCTGTTCTTTCTGGAAGCTACACAGATCAATTCTCTGCTTCTGTAACATTGTCCCCATCACTCCCACCTTGCTGATTTACCCAGGCTTTGTTTACCTGTCGTTTTCTCTAGAAAACCCTTCTCATGTTCCCTTTAAGCCAGGTGCCCCACTAGGCTCCCAGGGTGCCTCATCCTCTCTTCCACATGGTTTTACAGTGGTGTTCAGTCACTGGTCCTACTGCAACACTAGAAGTCTCTTCCAGATGTTATGCTCCTTCAGGTAATGAACATGTGTTGTCCAGAAAGGGCTGCTGACTCTGAGCCCATGTGGTTTGTTAGGGTAAATTTATGGACGGGAAACTGCATGAGGCCTGGACATCAACATCTTGTCTTCCCTGCCATCACTGATTGGTAAAGATGGACCCCTGATTCAATTAATAAAGTTCAAGGGTTTGGCTCTAGGTACATCTTAATCTAGGGATCTCAACCATTCACTCATCTCCATGTACAAACAGAATGATTGGACCAAATTCCATCCCATACCATCTAAACACACATATATAGTGGAACTTCCTGGCATGTTATTCTCTCCATTGAAACTCATTGTTTGATGGTCTTAGAATGCCAAAACTTTAGCACTCACTGGACCTACAATTCGCTAACTTTTATGTTCGACCAATTCTTCCTTTGTTAGTTACAGATTTCTATTCCAGCTGGATACTTGACAACACTGCCAAGGCATCTGAAAGACTTTTCAAGCTAAGTAAGTTTAAGATCCCACATCTCAAGCCCCTGCCTCCACATCACCAAATGTCATACCCCACCCAAGACACTGGCAGTCACTTCGACAACTCTTTCTGCCACGGCATACATCCAATTCATCAGCAAACATCAGCAGCTCTATCTTCAAAGCTACTCTAGTGTCTGACCTTGTCCCACTCCCTCCTCCTTTGCTCCTATCTGGGCCCAAGCCACCACCATCTCTTGTCTGAAATATTTTACTGTTTTCCTCATTTATGTCCTTGTAGCATGTCTATTCTCACATAGAAAATGATGTGATCCTTTTAAATATAAGACAGATTGCTCCCTCACTCCCATTTCCAGATCAAAGCCAAAATTCAAGACCCAACATGACCTGGCCACACCCACCTCTCTCTGCCACTCATTCAGCTGTAGAAAACACCCCCCAGTCTGCTTTGGCCATGAGCGGTACATTCCATCCTTTGGCTTTTCCTCTGCTGTGCAGTCTGCTAGGTATGTTTATCCCTCATCTCCAGTGTCCCCTCTGCCATTTCCTTTATGTCTTTACTCACAGACAGACAAAGCAGACGGTTGTACTCTGGGAACCAAACTGAAAACAGCAAATCTTATCCCTATTTCTTTTTCAGTAGCATTTGTTAAGTGATATTTCCCACATTCACATTTAGTTGTTCATTCACTTGTGCTACTCTGTACCCTCCTACTAGATGTAAACTCTCTAAGAAAGGTATCAGTTATAGATACTGTTTTATAGCTATTGTCTAGGATGGGGCAGTCACTAAATGGGTACTTTTTTTTAGTATTCCTAAATTTAACTTTCCTAAAGGTAGAAATCCTGAGGTTTTATTTAGTTCTCCAATTCAGTATTTAACTCCAGGTAATCAAGTTGATTTGGGGTCTAAAACACAACCCCAAAAGTATTATCATCCTGTTCTCTGTGTTCCATCTCTAACACCAGGTTCACAGCAGGCCGTGAGAGAGGCTGGGAAACAGTACAGACAGAAGTCGGAGGGGAGCAAAGTAAGTACAACTGGGAAAGCAAATACAGAATTGTAAAGTTAGACCAAAGGAAGGACAGGCAAAGGTCATAGAACAGAGCATGCAGGGCAGGGTGCCCACCTCCCCACCTCCGCTCACCAATGGCCAGGGTCATCACGTGGAGATGGTTTCGAACCAATTTCACCACCTCACTTTTTTGAAGGGGTGTGGCTCGGCAGCAGACCACAGCTTGGCACCATGCAGTCAGCTCCAGGAACTGCCTTTGCAGACTCTCCTGCAGGGCAAACTCCAGGGTCTTTCCTGTGATGACGAGCCCAGCACGTTCAGAGCCCTGGGGGTCAGGAGGCTGACAGGAGGCCTTTCTTAGTGATGCTGGCTTGGGAGAGGCTTGAGTTCTCTTCTGCAGTTCTTTCAAAATCGAGCTCATCAGCATCTCACAGGCATCCTTGAACAAAGACATAGAGACATTTAACCTTGGGGCACCACTGAGGAGTTGGCTCCAATTTCTTCCTTCTCTTTCTTTAGTGATTGCTGGATCAAGGCTGCCTAGGGTAGTGAACTGTGGATTACTTTCAAGGAGCCCACTTTATAACTTTTCAGTTTTGCAGCTCTCCCATGAGCTTCTGTGGATGTGAGGCCTGGTAAGAAGGAAGAAGCACCTCAAACACAAGTCCACAGCTAAAATGTAAAATTCTATCGCATTAGTCCCATGCAGGCTCCCTGGTTGGTGGTTAAGTCTCTGTGGGTTCCCACGAGCCCAGGTTAGTTGATCCTGTGGGTTTTCTCGTGGTGACCTTGATTCCTCTGGCTCCTACAATCCTTCCTCCCTCTCTTCTTGGGGATTCCCAGTGTTCCACCCTGCATATATGTTACAGTTGTGTAGCTTGGTCTTCTTGTGGGACTCCTAACAAGGGGGGCAGGGACTGTCCCTGACTCTTCTGCTGGCTTTTGGCACCCTACTCCTCATATTGGGTTCCCTTGTCCAACCTTACTACAAGGGGGAGGTGCCTTGTTGTGGGATATTTGAGCAAATTGTTTTAACCTTGCCTGCCTAGGGCACCTGACTGGTTTAGTAAGGAGCTGAATGGCCAATAACTAGGCTGGGGAGGTTAGGCAGGACTTCAAGGCAGAGAGAGGATCTCAGGATGAATCTAGGCAGATGCCAGTGAGACTTGGAGCAAGTCAGAGGAACAAAATGGAAGAGAGGTAAAAAAGCCGTGTGGTAGAACATAGATTAATAGAAACAGGTTAATTTAAGTTACAAGAGCTAGCTGAGAACAAGCCTATGCTAAAGGTCAAGCTTTCATAATTAATAATAATTTTCTATGTTGTTTTTTAGGGACTGGTGGCCCAAAAGAAAGTCTGATGGGAAAGTCAACTACAGTGCCTAGTCTCATTGCAGCTTGATATGCCATATTTGGTTGATAGATAGCCATGGGAAGCCACCCTTTTCTGAAGAGAAACGAGGGAGGAGTGGATTGGGGGGTACAAAAAGGAGGTAGGGGAGGACCTAGGAGGAGAAGATGGAGGGAAAAGTGATAGGGATGTAAAACATAATCATAATGACAATAATATAAATAATTTTTAAAAATTCACCAGGTAAGCATCAACTCTTCCCCGGAAGTGGGTCTCTTGAGCCCCAAGGTCTCATTCACCAACTCCTAGCTGTTTGGCTAGGGAACACTTCAGCTCTCTGAACCTCAACTTCCTCATCTGCAGAAGGTGCATGCTACCTCCATCCACACTGCTGTGAGGACCAACCTAAATGCAGATGTTTCAACATTTCCATCTTCTTTTTTTTGTTTAACACATTATCTACTCAAAAGCATTTGCTGAGGAACTCTGAGAGAATGTTGTGGACTCAGGGGACATAGCCTCATGGAGCTTGCATTCTGGGCAGCAGGAAGTTTTTAGTGGTGACATCACATCACATCTACACTGTACATGACACAGGAAATGTTTTGAAGGTAGCCATCCCTTCTACTCTCTTTGGGTTTTGTTGTTGCTGTTCCAGAGGCTGAACCTTGGATCTTACACATGCGGAGCATTTGCTCTGTGTCTGAGCCATGCCCTCAATCCCCCAACTCACTTTTGAATCCTTTATAGTGGAAAGACTATAGAGGCGGCTCAGTGGCTGAGAGCATTTTTTCTGCTCCTGTAGAGGATCAGAATTCAGTTCCCAGCACTCACTAGAGACTCACAAACATCTTTAACTCAATCAAGTTCAAAGGCATCCAACATGTTATTCTGGATTCTGGGTGCACCTGCACTAACACACACTAACACATGCAGAAACTCTCTCTCTCTCTCTCTCTCTCTCTCTCTCTCTCTCTCAAACACACACACACACACACACACACACATACACACACACACACACACTCACACTTCAGGTCTATCAAGTACTCATTAAATATTTGCTGAGTGGGTTCTACTCAGGATGACTAATAATAAACTTACAGAGAAAGTATTGTATAGAATGACCACCAAGTCTAGATCTCAGGTGTAGCAACAGGAGATTTAAGCCTACACGCCCAGCTTGAAAGTTTGCCGACTCAAGAACATCCCATGAGTGATATTTTTTAACTTTTAAGTGCTGCTTTACCAAGCATTTCTTCCCTTTTTGTTTTAAGGAATTTTTAAAATTACTTTATTTTTTATATACCAATCCCAGTTCCCCCTCCCTCCTCTCCTTCCACTCAACTCTCCCCCGCTTTCCATCTACTCTATGGAAGTCTACTAAGTCTGTCCCATCATCTCCTTGAGGCAGGACCAAGGCTCCTCCCGACCCCAACACCCTATGTCTAGACTGAGCAAGGTATCTCTCCATATAGAATGGGCTCCACTAAGTCATGTTTTTTGTGTGTTAATGTTAGGTCTTGAACCCATTGCCAGTGTCTCATATATTGTCCCAGTCACCTGTATTAAATGAGTCTAGTTCAGTCTCATGCAGGTCCCCATTTGTAAGACTGGAGTCAGTGATCTTTCACTAGCTTGGCTCAGCTGATTCTGTGGGTTTCCCCATCATATCAAGCATTTCTTAACCCACAATAAAATGTAAGGAACAAAGAAAATGTAGGAATCTACAGAGGCATGATGCAAAGAAGACTCAACAACCATATTATGTATAATAATCACCATTGTAGTGGTGCTCTGGAGATGGGCATGGGGTCATGCTCACCCATGTGAAAAAATTCGCACTGGTCTTACACAATGGATTAGCCTACTAGGAACAGACTAGTTCCTCCATAAACAGATGGGGAAAGGAGTTGGCCTGGTCTCTCCTTACTCACTTGCTTTCTTTCCTCCCATGTGAGTTTTTCTCCTCCTCACCATCTGTGCACATATCTAGCACCATGTTTGTGAGTTTTCAAATTGTGGGCTAAATAAACCTCTTACCTTCTATATAGTACTCAGCCTCACAGATTTAGTTACAGTGCTGCAAAACAGATAGTCTAGATCCAGTTACAAAAATGGAGCTACCCAACTACCTTAACCTTTGAACTAATTTGAACCCATATACTTCTAAAGCCATGAAAGAAACATCACACATGCTTATTATAGACCAAATTACAACATTAAAGACTGTTTGTACAAATGTTGTTTAGTTTGGTGAAATTAATGTGGCATAATTTAGAAATCAGCATACTTGGTAATCTTTGAAAATCAGAATATTCCATGTGAGGTGTTGTTTTAGTGGAACATAGTAAAACTATAGTAACATAAAACAGTCTTTGTAACATTAATATTATATGGTAGAGTTTACAGTCTAGATAGATATTCTTCATAATGTAATTGTGAATCACCTGTCACTTTATGATTATTACACATAGGTATTTAATCCATGAGTGTTTAGTTTTTTTAGCAGTATGTATACATACATGTATACACATATACACACATACACACACATGTACACTTATGCATACACACACACACACACACACACAAACATACATATACCACATACTATTCATAGATTCCAATTTTGTGAGTTCAGAAAACTTGCTATCATTTGTTTCCAACCCATAATCTCAGGCTTTTGAAGTCATATACTGCCAGGAAAAGAGTGACATTTAGGTCATGTGATGCATGCCCTCTCAGGCAAAGCTGAGAAAATGGATACACTATTCTGATTATTACCATTATTTACTTGGTTTTTTGAAACAGCATTCCTCTATGTAGCCCTGATTGTCCTAGAACTAATTTTGGAGACAAGACTGGCCTCAAACTCAGAGATCTGCCTGCTTCAACGTCCCCAGTGCTGAGACTGTTTGGTGACACTTCTTTTTTTCATCTTTCTCCTTTTGGCTGGGTTTCTGTTTCCTGAAATGGCTCCTAATTACAGTGTTGTTAGTGTCCCCAAACACTCAACAGCTATGACATACAGTGCTGAGAAACTGTATGTTAAGTACTCTCTTTTCAGGCATGAATTGGAGTGACATTTGCCTACACATATAATGAGAATGAATCTACAATAAATATTAAATAAGTTATCATGAGAGAGAAACACGCAAGAAGCAATGTTAGGTGTTAATCAACTGACAATGTATTCTATGTGATCACAGGAAGTAAACTGTGAATCTCCCTCGGGACAGCACTCACTATTCACTAATTCAGGGTCAAGATAATGCTATAAAACATAACTCTACCAATTGTAGGAAGCGTTTAAATCACTATAAAATATAGAAGTGTCTTGACATAAAAGAGACCAAATTCGAATTTAATTACGATTTCACCCATGATAAATCAAAATATTCTGGTGTCTCTGCCTATAAAATGAGTCAGTGTGTACTTGTTACAATCGTCAAATGAGATCATGCATGGATAGTTTCTTGAGCTTCTAATAAAGATTATAAATATTAGATTGTTATTAGGAGGGGGTGTTTTATATGCCTCTAGTGTAAACTGAAGGGGCAATCCTGTGTTTGTGAGTATGATAAACATGTCTGGACAGGATAATGTGAACACAAAAGAAAAAAAACCTTCCTAAGATAAAGACTTTTAAGTGGATACAGTTTTGCCTTAGTTTTTTTGGGAGTGAATTTCACAGATATATATGAAGTTACCACACAGACATGACTTCAGATATCCCCTTTTAGTTTTTAGGGACTCCTACGGTATGGACATTGGAAAAGGAACATATTTACAGACTAGTGTCTAAACCGATATTAAATTAAATTATGTCCACTGTTTTCTTTTGATCTATATAGAAAATTTTCATATATGAATCATTATTAGTAGCAACTAAAATTAACTAAATATGTACTAAATACTTATTGGACTGGTAGTTTTAAGTGTCTTCTGATATAAATTGTATATTTATAAATAAACTTTATAATCCTGCTGATTTTTACCAATCAATAAATTATCTTAGTCAATAGATAAAAAAAATATATATAACATGTTTTTTTTTTTTAAACTAGAAGGAAGGGTTTTACATGTTTTTATCATGAAGAAATTAGAAATGATCGAGGAGACAACTATGCTTAATTTGATTTAGACATTATAGAATCTGTACATGGACTAAAGCCCCTTTGATTTCAAAGAGTGACTGACACACCTGACCTGAAAGATGCTATGCCCTTCTTGTCATGATGACACAGATCACTACATCTATTCTCAAACAGGAAGCACTCTCCTAACAAATGCAGAGAGTCCCAGGCCCACGAGGCATGCATCGCTATGCTTGGTTTCCCATGTATGTAGACTTGGTGATATCTGGAAAGATGTTTGACCTGTCAATAGGCTTTCTCTGAGGGATGGTTTTAATATCCTATCTTTTCTAAAAAGGCTTCCACATTATTTGAATGTTCTATTCAAACATGTATTATAATCTTGAGACAAAAGTTCTTCGTGCCTAAAAGCCTCTGAGTCAAAACTGCAAATAATTAACTTTATTTTTCATTTCCTTGTTTATGGATTTGGTGTGTGCTGGCGGGGGGGTTTCCATGCCGTGGTGTATGTCTGGTGGTCAGATGGCAACTTTTAGGGGTCAACATCGATTTTCTCTTTCCACTAGGTTGGTTGTGGTGGGGGGGTCAATCTCAGGTCCCAGGCTTAGCAGCAGCATTTCATCAGCACTATTTAATTTTCTTTTTTATTTCATGCTTCCAAATCTCTCAGTAGACATTTAGCATTTTTTAGGTGATGCTAGCATTAGAGACCATCCGCAGGAGGACATCCCCAAGTCTGCAGAAGCCCTTCACAAATATCTCCTGATGCTGACAGGAGATATTTCCTTATCTTTGCCCATAGTCACATCAGTGCATGGGTGTTACAGTCTGTGACAGGTGAGGAAGAAGAGGCCACACAGGGCAAGTAACTCCCTGAGGACCTATGCTTGGTCAGCAGTAAGTAAATATTTCACTAGCCACTCATGCCATATCCATTCTGAGTCACTGAAATGATCCTGCCCCTTGGTGGTACTGGGTGTTGGCTTTTGGTTATGAACATGGCCCCCAGATCTGCTATAAAGAGAACTCAGTCTGTGTTGTAAAAGACAGCTCTCTTTCCTCAAAAATAGCACAGAGTATCAGTGGAGGCTTAGCCATGAAACAGCTAGTCAGAAGAGACAGCCTATGAAGACCCTGATTCCGCGAGATGGCTAGAGAGGGCATCACAAAGTCTGGATGCTGTGACAGAATCCTGACTTTGATATGGAAGAGAGGAGGCAGGCAGAGCTTTCAAGCAAAGTAAACAGTATGAGCACATGTTGGTGTGTTTCTCTCTCCTACGAGCCTTCTGTGAAATATCCATCTAACTTACTCAAATACCCATCCTAGTCATTAATGGTAGCATAAATTACAAGTAAATAAGCAAACAAATAAATAAAAAACATGGGTGATTCAAAATCTTTTCAGTTCCTGCTTTAACACTCCATCCCTTTCATTTCTACCAATGATAGGGGCTCTTAGGAGCACTATCTACATCTACCACTAGAGGGCAGGATTATGCTGAGAGCCTACTTTTAAAATTTATAAAAATATCTAGTCACTAACAGAAATTACAACGTCCCTCCAACTCGAAAAGGAGGTGGGTTTATGTCTCAAGAGTTCATATACATTCTCATTTTTGTCTGTCTTGTGAAATCTCTTGGTCTAACAGTGAGAATGTGGGGGAGAGGGTGCCCAAAATAAAAAGGGAAGTTTTTTTTTTTTTTTTTTTTTTTTTTTTTATAATGCTTGTATTCACCCATGATGCTTCTGAATATGGCTTTTAGAAAAACTATGGCATACTCCCAAATATGAGCAAGGTCATTCAGCAGCATAACATCAAGAGCTACAGATGGTCAGATCAGCTTTTCCTTGTTCTTGAATACACCAATGGCCTACTGCCCTACCAGCTTTCAGTTAAGAGAGTATTTGGCTCAACATCACCATGCATACTTTGCTCTGTGTATTGAGGATGAAGAGCTTGTCATCTGGCTCCAGGAGTTTGCATGCATAAGCTATGTTGACAGCTGTCTCCTGCTTGTCCCCTGTCAGCATCCAGATCTTCATGCCAGCTTTGTGAAGGGCTTCTATAGACTCGGGGACTCCCTCCTGAAGACGGTCTTCAATGCCAGTAGCACCTGGAAAGTAATCAAACAGCAAAGCAGGTTGCTTAGAAACCAGAGGCAGCTGGGACTCCATTGACTCCTATCCATGGGCCATTCAGTCCTGAACTGTATAAACTGCCCCAGCAGCATCCAGAGATGCAAAGAAAGCCAAAGAGCAGTTGTAAAACACCAAGGATTGTGTAATTTATCAAACACATTCTCCTTTTGGCTAGTATTCATCTCTACAAACTCAAAAGCTGATTCTCTTATTTACATAGACTTGCCATAAATTCTATAGTTCAGTGAAACTTCCTAGGGTAAGGGAAGGCATTTAGAGAATACCCTTGGCTCTAAGATACAATGTCTGTTAGGAATGCTTTTCCATAATGTCAGTCCACAATGTCCTATTCTGGAATGGGATGCAGTCAGTTTTGGAATTCCTGTTTTCCCCACCAGTGATGTGGTATAAATTTTCTATTTTGCAATACCTGTTAACCACCCATATTTCTATAGAAAACCTCCAAGATTTTCATGCTAATTAAATTTGATGTAAAAAATAGTGTTACATCAAATCAGGTTTGATTTTGCTGCCAAGTGAATTTTGGCATTAAACCTACAGAGCCTTAAATTCATTTGGAAATGCAGATTAGGAAGTACGCATCTAAGCTACTTACACCACCACAAAGAAATTATTAGTATTTAAAAGGGACATGACTATTCTACTTGACAGACATTGAGATCATGTTTCCACCTAAATAACGAGCAGAACAGAGCTCAGAGACGGCTCTCTGGTGTATTAGTTCTTCTGTAAGAATCTACATCTCCATGCTCCAAGCAGTGTTTTTGAACTTGATGGCCCCTCAGAAGTCACTCAGGAGACTTTCAGCCACTCCAGTGTCTAGGTCACACACAAGACCAACAGCCCTTGGACTGTTTATTGTTCTGTAAGTGATTCCCAGGTGTGGGTCAACCTGACACAAGAGGTATCCATTGTGCATTTGTGTTGGAATCGGGCAAGAGGAGAAGAAAAATAGACTTCAAGATCACTTGCAATACAGAATAAAGGACAGGGACCCTATACTTGGGAATACTTGAGTTTGTTGCTTTTCAGTTCATGTCTAAGCCTTTGAGCGTGAACACGTCACTGTACTACATTGTGCCCGTTTCTTCTAAATAAGATGCCTGTTTATTATAAAGATTTAAGAAGACAACATATTTTTAAGACTTCACCTAATTCCTTGCAAGACACCTGCAAAACCCTTCTCTCAGACCAGGGTATTTGTCTGTGTGTATACTCTTGTTGGGTATTTAGGTTTTACATCCTAGCAAGAATGTCCACCCTGTTCCTGCCACAAGTGAACCCTCCAGTTCACTCAAGTGGAACACAAGTCTGAAGGCACTGGAACACAAGGAGAGATCAGGATGCACGTGGTTGGGAGAGCCACATATGCATACTAGATCAGAGTGGCTAAAGGGGACTACAGTAGAATGGATTTAGAGACAAAATTCTCTGCTCACGCAATACAGCGCCATTTACCTACCAAGTAATGTGAGTTTGTTCTCTAGTCTCATGGCAGATTCAACCAGCAATTCTTCCCTGTTGTCAATGCTTGTCTCAGCTAAAAAGTGATTCCTCAACCACTCTGTATATTCAGTGTCGCTCATGACCTAAGAGAGGAAGAAAAGAGACTAGGAGGCAGGGCATTAAACCTTGCAATATGCTGCCAGGACTGACCGGGGACGGAGTTCCATGCCAACAACTACACATCTGAATTTCATCCTGTGGGCACACTTGTATCTGACCCATACTCCTTCACACAGGGACACAAGATTCCCAAACTCTGATCAGGAAATGCGAACCAGCTGGTAGAGAGACAGCACTGCTGAGGCATCCTGGGAAATTTGAAGGGGGTTTCAAATATTTAAAAACAGGACACAAGGAGGTGGAACAGGCCTCCTGTTGATGGTTAACTCTGGGAGCATTCTAATGGTGCAGCTAAGAAAATGTCCTCAAGATTGTTCATTGGAGTGATGCCACAGCCAACAATACTTCAGAGGTCTTTGAAAATTCAATCACATGGTTAAGCTTCAGAAAAGGTAAAATGAGAGGCACCCTATAGGAAACGCAAGAAGGACTTGGTTCTAAAAAAACATAAATGCAACTCCTGAAGAAGAAACCAATGTCCCCCTGCCTTTAGTTGTCATAATGGATGAATCTGAATTTCCAGTCTTAAAAGCAGGGTTGAGTGGAGGGGGTTAGCAATTTTTGTCTTATACACTCATTTTGGCCTGCCAGGAAATTTCATTTGGGAAAATATAGCATCTAATGGAATACATTCAAGTGAGAAGGCAATCTTTAATCCCCTGCTCCTCCTACAATTGCATCACAGAGGCATTTGATCCCTCATGTCCCTGGTTGAAATGGGTTCCTTGGAGGTCCCCAAGAGCTAGTCCCACTTTGTCTCCCACAGTAGCTAAGAACTAGAACGTGGGTAGTCAGTGAGAGGTTTTGGCAATAACCATCCCCAAATCACTCCTCTTTGGGGACAGAAATCTAACCCAGTCATGTACAGGATGGAGAGGCTGTATCAAAGGACCCCAGTCTGGGGAACCTCCCTGGTACCTGGATTGGGATAGAGATCTGATACACACACAGTGTATCAGATGATGGGTAAACAGATATAGCAAGATTGTGTGTGCTACACTCAGCCTTCTCACCTTCTTAGCTATACATAAAGTGCGCAGCCCTCGTTTGGCATATTCATCCAGGTGGCTCTGCGTTTTCTCTCGTATTATCATCTGATGTTTTTCCAGATTTGTTCCATCTGAAATCATGAACAGAAAAATCATTATTCCTGCCAGGCTGCCCAATTAGACTTTTTTTTCCTTTGAAGAATGACAGTTTAATCTATAATAAACAAAAGGTATTTTTTTTTTTTTTAAGCTTTGGTTCTCAACTGTGTGCCTAGGGAAGGAAGACAGCAGCATAATTCTTCACTTTGATTCTCTTCCCCAGGGCAGAGGAAGAGGTAAAGGTTTGATATGACTGCTCATGATTGGTGAATGCTATCTATCCTGTCCCGGGCACCCCACCTTTGCTGGGCAATAGGCTCTTTCTGCATTTCACACTGAGTGACATGAAGCCTCTCAGGAGCCCATAAAAAGGTAGTATGATGCCCCCTTTCCCAAACTGGTAATGTCACGGTGGCACAGCTAATGATTGATTTCAGATGTAAAGAAACCATGGTCCCCACAGCTTCAGAACCCCTCCGCCTTCCCATCCAGCCCTAGGCAGCATTTCCCCTTTTCCAGTGTGACTTCATAGCCTCTAACAGAACCCTTGGGAGTGGCGGCTGAATGCCCAGCCCTTCCAGTCACCACCATGGCAACTGTGCAAACCTACCTGAGGAAGCCACCGACAGCAGCTCCATGATCACAGAATCAGCACCCTTTGTATACACCACGACTTGTTTGGAAAGAGGATGCCGGACCACAACAGACATTCTTTTTTCTTACTGAGTCAAAGGGAAGGATGTGTAAGAGTTGAAATGTTAATGAGCCCAAAGCAGCAAAGTCCACCATGACCTGCTCTGGGGTCCGAGACTGTAGAGTGCAGTGGTAAGCCCTGGCGGCGTACACTAAGGCTGCTTCATCCGGACTCTCAGCTTCATAGCACAGGTTGGAAGCCAAAGAAGGTGGTCCATTTAGGGCATCAGCTGTACCAATGGTGAGTCCAATGGCACTGTTTTGTGCCTCAGTTTCTGTACAGCAAGCTGAGTTACTGGCCTGGAGGCTTTCACCCATCTGGGAAGGCTCATCCTCCATAGGAGGTGACAGTTTTGTTCGACTAAAGAAAGAGATTCTGCTCACAAAGGCAGAAGGAGTCCCAGAAGTCGGGTCCTTCCCACTGGCAAGAGACGGTGAACTTGATCTCCGGACTGACAATTTCTGGAAGATGTTTTTAATCTCTTCCAAGGACTTGATGGGCATTCCACTCAGTGAGGAGAGCCCAACCTAGGAAAGACAATGGGAGAGGTCTCAATAGCGTGTCTAATAACATGCCATCACAACTCTAAAGTCCAACTGAGGAAAAAGTGAGAGATGAAAGAGTTACCACTGTCTTAACTGTCAATCTGCTTTTTCCCTGGAAATTCCATGGCAAACAGGAAGACATGTGATGTCACATGTGATGGCATTGTACATTTCTCTAACTATTCAGGAAGATATCAACAACTGAAAACAAAGGATACAAAATGCTAATAATATTGGCCTTATAGAACTTTTTCTAAAGAAGAAATTCTACATGTATGAAATCTATAATCTTTATTGGCACAGCTTAGCAATAGCAATTATAAGCAAGTTGAACCAGGCATGGTAGTGCTTGTATAGTCTCAGCACTTGAAAGGCAGAGGCAGGAAGAGGACCCCAAATTCAAAGCCAGGTTGGGCTACATGAAACCCTTTCTCTCAGAATCTACTGTGAAACAATCAATCACCATTAAACTACAAATTCAAGTTAATACTCAATACCAAAACAAAAAAATCTTCTTGAAATTTATTTTAAAGTGAAGTTTACTAAGCACATGGATGCATTGTTAGAAAAGTTCAATGCTTTCTGGGGTATTGCAGAAAGAGCTCAGACAACAGTAAGAGAAAACAGAACAGCAGCAGCAACAACAACAAAAAGACCACACATCACCAAGACCACAGGAGGGCGGAAAAAATCAATCAAAAAAACCAACACAATACATTTTTCTTTTTTCTTTACAGAGTCTAGGAAAGGTTGTCATCTTGATATTTACACCAAAACTGGCCAATGAATGAAGAAAGTCAAAGGGGAATTAGCTACACCATCACGTGATTTTAATTCTTTACCAGTACCCAATTTGTTCTTATTGGTATCCTGTCTTCTTTTACACTTTTAACATCAGCGATTTAGTTTTGTAATTTCATGACAATCATTTGGAAGTACGCGGAGAATTTCAACGTTTTCTTCAGAAACTAATTTTATAACCATCTGAAGGGTTCCTGCTAGTACATCATCAGCAACTCGGATGTCAAGCAGGACATGCAGTGGGGGAGGTCTCTGTTTCTCATGGTAAGCTCCCTTTCTCCCATTACCCTAACCATCTGGGAGGCGCAGGAGCTCTTTACGCCTCCAAAGATTTTATTCCAAGCAGTAAAGCATTATATCAACAATAGTTTGTAGAAAGGAAACACCAAAAGTTGTCAATTTTGAAAAGACTGTGTCGTACAACTTTTCATGAGTCCCCCCATTTATTCTGTAATACCACAATCGCTTTTGTCAGAGCATCTTCCCAGTCTCTGATCGGGTACAGCTTAATTGTAAGTGAATTACTTTTATGTTGAAGTTCCCACCTCTGAAGTTACCAAAAGGAAATGATCAGTTGGAAAATTAAAATTTAATTGGGTTTTGTTGTAAATTGAATTTTAAGTGGATGTGCAGGAAAGGCAAAATACACCAGGAGGCTAATACACCACAACAGATCACCAGGCTCTGCAATGTTTTCCTTCCTAACTGGAAAATGAATTTTCCATGAGCTCTAAAGCTATAACTATACTTCTAGCTCCTGGCACATCGTACTCATACTGGATAATGAGTAGACTGAGTTAAAACAAACCTAGCTGGAACAGGAAGAAAGCTTGTCACAATCATGACCATTAAACTAACGCTTCAGACTTCGTATGATGTTGTGCATTCGATGCTGCCTGTCTCTAAAGTCTCACAGACAGCTTCAATTTAGTAAAAGATAGTGAAGGCAAAGTGGAAGTTCTCCTCAGCAGTCCTCTCCTAGACAAATTATAGAGTAAAGCCCAGGGTCCTACTGCCTAGGTTCAACCCCCACCCCCATACACTGGTTTTGCAACCGTGGTGAGATCCTTCCAAAGCTTAAAGACGAGGAAAAACAGAGCTAGAGTGCTTAGCTCTTGGGGCTCTGAGAGGACTGGACACAATAGAACCAGTAGACCTCTTAGAGTGTGGTCGGTGCCGAGCCAAGAACAAGTCCTGAGTAAATGGTTTGCACCTGCTATATTCTTGCTGCTCTTGGTATTTTACTGTCATCATATAACAAAACCACCACAGATGCGTGCAAACTCCACATTGTCTGTTGCTGAGTAAACCCTTGTTTGCCTTAGAGTTTACCTTTTGCCGAGGCTGGTTAGGAGCAGAAACCACCACTGTGTTGCAGATTGCCAGAGCAATGAAGAAATCCACGATGTACAAAATCTCTGGGGGTGGACTCTGCATGGTCCCATCCAGTGGGGTGAAGAGCTGAGGGGTAATCTGGCTACACTTGTCCAAAAGTATGGTATCTGGTACCACATCTGTTTCCTGAAGAGACAATATGACAAAGTGTTGTTATTAATATGAGGAGCTCCTATAACGGTAAACTAAATTTTAATTTTTTTCTACATGTATTTGTGTGTGTGTGTGTGTGTGTGTGTGTGTGTGTGTGTGTGTGTGTGCAAGTAGATGACTACAAAGCTGAAATCCTGTTCTGTGATCATGACGGTAAAAGCAATACTAAAGCTAGTAAAAGTACTGCGTGTGTATTCACACAGTCACAAAAGAGATACCCCTTTCAGCAATACCATGCAGATAAGAGCTGTCAAAATGAAGCTGGGTCTATCCAGATACTTGGGACCCTAGAAGACACTGAAATCACCATAAAAGAGCACAAATAAAAGAGGGGCTCACAGGAAGATGTAAGCATATGTACTACAGCGTATATGGAGATCAGAGAAGAGTTTAAGGAAGTTGGTTTTCTCTTTCCACCATGTGGGTCCCAGAGATCAAACCTAGGTTGTCAGGCTTGGCAAGTGCCTTAACCCATTGAGCCATATCACCAGCCCAGTAAATATAATTTTTAAAAGTTTAATGCATATGATAACTGGGGAAATAAAATAATAAAATGAAGCACATATAAATAAAATGTCAATACAGATTGTGTATTATTAATGGGGGGGATATTTTTATCTTTCAGTTAAACAGGAGAAATACCACCTTCTACCAAAATCTAGTTGAAAGGGTACTTCTTACTTTGAAATACGTAATGCTAGGCACATAATTTATTGTACTCAGAATTCTACCATGGCTATATTTTATTCAACAACTGATGAACACCAATTATTTCACAAATAAGATTTAACACAACATTTTCCCCTCAATTCATTAATATTGTAAACACATCTTTCAATAAGAAAAAAATATTTATTATAAGCAGGCAAAGAGACTAATCCTCATGTCATATCCAGGGTATTTATGTACAAGAGCTTTCTAGCAACTGTGGCCTTCTCTTAACAATTCCTGGTAAGGATTTACTCCAAGAAGCTCTATCAATGGAGTGGGGTACGGGAGCCTTATTTCATCTAGCACAGTACATCTCAGACTTATTTGAGAGTACTAGTTTTAACATATGTGTGTCATAGTAGTAATCTGATTTTTACACAGCATCATTTTGTCTTCTGTAGAGGGTACTGCTTAGAATCACTGTCCCACAGAAGCACCACTGGGATGCAGGGAATCTTGGATGCTGCCAAGCACAGCCCACTGACTGCAGGGAAGCCAGGAGAGATGACTGGCAGCAGAGAGTGCAACAGGGACACGTGATACTTTACTTACATGGTCCTGTCATGGTCAACTTGATTAGATTTAGGACTAGCTAAGGGGAAAAAAAAATCCCTGGGTATGTCTGTGAGGAAAGACCAATTATAAACATAGGTGGCACCATTCCATGTGGTCCTAGACAGAATAGAGGAGGAGGAGGCCAGCTGAGCATCAGCTTCCCTCACTGCTTCCTGACTGCGGGCACAATGTGGCCCGCTGCCTCAGGCTTCCCATGCCATGCTTTCCTTACCGCGACAGCCTGTATTCCTCTCAAACTGCATGTTGCACTTGTCCAAAATTTTATTTAAAAAGTAAAGAGAAAACAGATATCACAGCCAGTGTTTCTGCATTTGCTAAGAGTGATCACAGGTTTAATGAGAGAAGAGCAAAGCTGGCAATTACACGTTCTCTGCTCTTAGCTTCACTCTGCTGACAGCTAGCCTAGGGAGGCTTACAGCCCTGTTCCTTTGCCTGCCTGCCTTTCTTTCTTTCCTTTCAAGTGACACATCCTCACCTTTCAGATTACCAGGGTCATGACAGGTTTAAAATTCACTTGCTGTCAGCTGTCACAAAGCAGTCTTAAAATTCTATCTAAATTCAGCAAGTAGGTGACTACAAAGCTGAAATCCTGTTCTGTGATCATGACGGTAAAAGCAATACTAAAGCTAGTAAAAGTACTGCGTGTGTATTCACACAGTCACAAAAGAGATACCCCTTTCAGCAATACCCTGCAGATAAGAGCTGTCAGAATGAAGCTGGGTCTATCCAGATACTTGGGACCCTAGAAGACACTGAAATCACCATAAAAGAGCACAAATAAAAGAGGAGCTCACAGGAAGATGTAAGGAGACCCACATCAGAATGAAGCTGTAGAAAGAGGGCTCTGCTGTTTTGACAAAAAGTAACTTCACCCCCCTCAAAAAAAAAAAAATAACTTCATCTCTCATGAATTCATTTCCTCTGGAGTAGAGGAGAGGGTACAGAATTGTCACATGCAGTTTTTTTTATCTAAATAACTATATTCATAATTATTTCCCCAAGATTAAAACCATCTTCACTGTGTCCTTGTTCGACAAGATTAACATAAGTCTCTTTCTGTGCTGGACAACTGTTGCCATCTTCCATGAAACCACAGCTGTTTCATTAACATAACTATACTAAACAGTGCCCTTCCCAGAGTTTAAAGTCTCTTTAAGGCAAGGACCATATTCTATTAATCTTGGGATCTCTAACCCGAGCACATCCCACATGATAAGCAACTCAAGTTTATTGTTCACTTCTATCAAACTCTTTGTGGCCTTCTATTCTATGCAGGAAGGACAGAGAAACAAATAAACTAGAGTCATTCATTACCCACGGAAAAATAAATGCATAATAGCTCCCACATGGTCTCAATCAGGCATCTGGTTAATATTCAGAGAACATTTCCACTCGTGATTAGATCATGGGATACACAGCACGACAGACAGCTCCTATACCAGGGGTTCTCAACCTTCCCAATCCTGAGCCCTTTATATAGCCCCTTATATTGTAATAACTCCCATCCATAAAATCAATTTGTTGCTACTTCATAACTGTAATTTTGCTAGTTATGACTTGTAGTGCAAATATCTGATATGCAGGACATCTGATATAGCACACCTGTGAAAGGGATGTTGGAGGGTCGTGACCCACAGGTTGAGATCCACTTTCCTGCACTGTCAGCAAAGCCTTGGTGGTTTCATAGTGGGAGTCATGGCTTTGCTGTCACTTTGTGTGACAGTTCAATATCAGGACTCACACCGCCTACTCGGCAGAAGGAATTCTATCTCAGGCGTTTATTTGTTGTTGCTATTTTTCTCCCCTAGTTAGATCCAAGTTCAATGTGCAAAATTTGGCTGGACTCTGCTCTTTGCTCTCCTCCTTGTTCGCTGAAGCACTGTACAGCTTCAAGATAATTTAAATGTTACCTGTTTGAAAATCGAGAGTAACAGGAGGCTGCTTAATTGTTTCTACAAACCTCTAAACACTCACAGTTTAATAAAGGGGAAAAAAATACTTCACCAGGTGACAGAGCTGGTCAGGCAGTTGTAAAGCGGTGCCCACTCCTCTCTAGTCCTCCTCTGCTAAAGATCTTATTTAATTTCCTGATGGCCCTGCCATTCAGGGGCTGCCAGTCTACTCAGGTTACTTTGGGTTTGTGGACACACAAGCCTTCTCTTCGACTCCTCTGACTCCCAAATACCACACACCTGAAGGAAAAATACCAAGGCCACACATTGGTGGCTTTCCCTCTATACAAACTCCCTGACCCAGCAGTGCTGAGGATTGGTATACCCTGCATTGTTTGCCTCCCTCCCTCCTGGGGGTGCTATCTTACAATCTCTTTCTAGGCACTCACCAGTTGCTCTTAACCTAGGCTTCATGAATGGGTTTCTAGAACACAATGTCAAATAAGTTGTAGTTTTTTGGGTCACAGACTGTATAGATTCCTCAAAGTGTTAGGCTCAGCTGGTAAGACTTAAGACTCAAGAGTGAAAGTCATGTTTCCTGGGAGAACATAACCACTCCATCCGATCCATAGGAGTGTGTCTTTGGAAGACACAGAACGAAAACAACCCTGGGACTTCCAAATAATTAAGAGGACACAAGACACTGAAGCACAAGGGCAAATGGAAACAACCAACTGAATGGAAAGAATAAATCCAGCAATCAGATTCACTCAACAACCTTCCAAAGTACTGTTTTGAGAATGACTTAACAGGCCCTGTGCTAAGCATTAGGATACAAAGGTTAGAAAGTTCTTGCGCTCAAAGTGCTAACAATGCAATGTCTGACACAGAAACAAGGCCAACATTATTCAGGCGAAGGGGTAATGGGACAATCGTTTCAAAAAAAAAAAAAAAAAAAAAAAAAAAAATCCGAGAAGCCTTCAGTACAGTATTAGTTGCTGCCTTTAATGTTTTATCAGATGCAATGAGGAGAGGAGAGAATATGTCTCAGGCAGGGGAGATGGCACAGAAACAGGCACAAAGGCTTCCAGAAGTACCTTTGTACATCACCCTCTGAAAGGAGGGTGATCCCTGTTCAGGAAACTGAGGAGGGCCAGACAGCCCCGCCTGGATGCCAGCACTGAGCGACCACCAACCAGATGTGAGTTAAAGCATATTTATTTTCAAACGTGCACAGAAATGTACAAACTCAGTAGATGATTAAGTAAAGATAATATCATAGAGGAAAGAGAATATACATAAACATACTTTTTCTGACAGAAGCACAAAAAGACTACAGAAGAGAAGGGCTGTGCATACTTCTTGTTAATTGCTTTTCAAAATTTGGAAAAGAAAAAAGTAAAGCATAGATGTTTCAGAACAGATTGCTACATAAGGAAGCTATAGTGTTAGGGAGTGTTATATCCTTAGTGCCACAGAATTGAGCTGGTAGTGGCCACATTGTTACTGCAGGTGCATATTTCACAGCAACTTTTCAAAGGGCCTAGAGATGCCCTGAAGGCCTTCTCAATTCAAGTCAGGTACCTGAGGTCTACTTAAGTAATGAATTTATCATGAAAGGCAGGCAATGACAGTAATGTAGCAACCCAAGGGGGTCCTCAAAGCTGCTCTACTCTTGTTATGTTGTCTGCCTGAAATGATACTGATACTGTCAAACATGGGTGTTAATGAAGGCTGGGAAGGCAGTGCTCATTTTAGAGAGATCATCTTAAATCTACTCAAAGTGTTGAGTTCTATTTTATTTATTTATTTATTTATTTATTTATTTATTTATTTATTTTTTACACAATCATCTTTTCTGTTTCTATGTTCTACATGGTCTTCTAATTTCTCCTGCACTAAAATGGGTTTGTAATGGGGGTGACTGGTCAGTTCTGAGAGTTGCCACTAGGACACAAACCACTTGTGGAGCTCTGTAATGAAAATACTAGAAAGTGCCCTTTGTGGAATAAGGGATGAGGAGGTTTGGGTGGAATGCATAGGAAGATTACACAGTGATAAAAAAAAGACACCAAAAGACCTATTAATTAGACAAACATACCTGTCTTCGAGATAATTCTGGTTCAGTCTTGGTGGTCAGCCATTATCCTTAAGTCAAGGTAGCCTTCTTCAGGCTCTGATATGATCATCCTTGACCAGAAATATTACATTTTTTCAGAAATGGTACCTGACTTCTCAACACCAAATTATGTAACAAATCTCAAATTTATAATTTTTTTAATTTATTATATGTCAGCATCATGCTGAACTGTAATGATGTCACCTCTTTCCTAGTCAAAGAAAGCAGTGTTGTTTGAGCTATTATAAACAGGGGGCTGTTCTTCCCAGGATGTGGTGACAGCTTCACACTTACAATCGGGCTGCTGAACGCAGCTTGTCTGGAATGAGGCACTTCCTCAGATCCTTCTCTACTTCCTAGGGCAGCAGTGCTCCCAGAGAGATGAGTTGAGGACTTGCTTCTCAGAGGTCCCCTGTGAACTGTCCTGCAGCTGTGGGTTCTGGGTTTAGTCATGTTGCTGAGAGAGCCGCTGAGAGCATCTGTGCATTCGTCCTCTTCAAAGACAGCTTCCTGGTAGGACTCGAGTCTCCTGGCTGTAGGATAAAATTCACACCGAATCATCATCTGAAAAGAACTTGCAGGCTAAATATGGAAGGTAGTTCCTGAGCTATTTACACCATTATTTTTCTGTTATGGCCTCCAAACTCTCCCCATGAGAATCCATAGACAATAAACTTACCCCATCTTTTATTGAAGACACATGGATTAGGAAGTCCCATCCTTTCCCATCTCTAGGTCTAGCATCTTGCCTGCAGCTCTACCCACACTCTTTGTCTGCTACCCTACTGTGATACAGAACTCAGCCTTCCTTGTTTCAAATACCAAGCCCTCCACTTGTAATCTGGATCCTGCCCTCTGGGTTCTCAAGGACTTTTTTTTCACATTTATCTTTCACATACACCAATCTCTCCTTAACCAATTTCTCAAGGTCACCTATAAGGTCCATCTTACCAAGCCCAATGATTGTATGTATGTATGTAAATATCTGAATGTGTGTTATCTCACTTGAACTCTTAATAATACTCAACTCCTTCTAGAAATAACTTTTTGGGCTTCTAGGATCTTCTACATTGGTGGCACTAGCTACTTAGTTTTCCCAGCTTTCTTTCACATGTTTACTTTATTTTGTATGTGTGAGGCTTCACATATATGTAGATGTATAGAGATACATATGCATGCACATGTATGTGAAGGACAGAGAACCTTGGGCATTGTTTCTCAGGATTCATTGTTTTATCTTTATTCCTTTGTATTTTGAGACAGGGACCCCCCCCCCCACACTGGCTTAGAACTCACCATAGATGGAAGAATGCCTGGCCAGCAAGCTCCAGGATCTGTCTGTTTGCACTTTTCAATGGTAGGATTACAAGTGGACACCAGCTCAGTTATTGGCAAGCAGCAGGGACTGCCTGCTTTTCTCCATCTAGACACCTCTTCTTGGTATTCTCATATGGCCTGATCTTCTAAACAGAATGTCTTTATGCATAGCCTATAAACCCATCTACTGATTAATTTCATGTCAAGCTGGAGTCGTCAGAGAGGAGTGAACAATTGAGAAAATACTTCTGTAAGATCAGTGGTAGACAAGCCTGAAGGGCATTTTCTTAATTAGTGATTAATGGAGGAAGTCCCAGCCTATTATGGGTGGTGCCATCCCTGGGCTGGTAGTCCAGTCCTGGGTTTTATAAGAAAGCAGGCTGAGCAAGCCAGTAGGCAGCACCCCTCCATTGCCCCTGCATCAGCTACTGCTAAGTTCTAGCCCTATTTGAGTTCCTGTCCTGACTTCTTTTAATGATGAACTGTTAAGTGGGAGCATAAGCTGAATAAACCATTCCCTCCCCAACCTGTTTTGGTCACAGGTCACAGTGTTTCATCACAGCAATAGAAACCACTAACTAAAACAACTTGTGTCTTCAACTCTCACCTTTACTGAAATGCAGACTCATGTTTTCAACTCTGCACTTGACACTTGTAGTTAGCTATCATAAGGCTCTTCAAGTAGAAGGATAGTGGTATAGTACATGCCTTGACCTCTCTCGAATTCATCCTACTTAACAGTGAAGATTTCTCAGGTAGAGCCCCATTATTTACTATTGATTCTAATCTTGCCATTACTGCCCATTATATACTTCTGCTCTTACTTTCATATCATCCCATAAAATATACAACTTAAAATGGTCAGAGAAACTCATGCTCTGTTAATATGTCCTAAGAGTCCAATGCAGTATCTCATAGGTACTCAAGAAATACTTGAGGAATAGGTAAGTAAATAAATAACAGTAATCTTAAATTCCACCTGCTTGTAGCTGAGCTCTTTCTTCTTTCTCCTCAACCTCTTCTCTTTTCTCTTTCTCCTCACTGTTGTACAACAATACTGTCCTATCTATGTGGTAACCAGAAACTTGAACAATCCATTCTTGACAGTTTGCATTGGGCCTTAACACCCCCATTTTGCAAGAAAAAAACTTTATTAATTTGTCATTACACACACACACACACACACACACACACACACACACACACACACAGGACTAGATTGGTCTTAAGACCAGATTTGTTGAATGCCACATCAAGATTCTGTGAGCCTAATGCTATAGTGTTTCTAAATATAGCCATATGCATGAGTGTGGCCCATTTGAACACATATCAATCTCCCCTGTCAAATTTCTATAAGCCTGTGTTTTTTTTTTTTAATCTTAAAAAAGTATTTGGTAAATGAATAATGAATGAATAGGTATGTAAATGAAGTATCTCTAGTGTTAAGGGAAAGTAAATGGTAGGGACTTACAAATATTAAAGTTATTAAAGCTTTTAAGATACTGCAGCTATTTGACATCATCTTATTCTCACATTTAGAGCGAATACACTGAATCACAGATAAATGACTCTTGACCTCTCACTACTTACTCATATCCAGAGGCTTGCCAGCACAGTCCATCATACATCAAATCTATACTGAGTGTCCAGACTTCTTCCTATTTCCAATACCTCAGTCATGTTGACATCACTGAACTAGTGCAATGCCGTAAAACTAGTCTTTTTGCCCCTCTGAAATCTATCCCTCGAATGGTAGCTAGAGAGACCTTCCTAAAGGATAAAGCAGATGAGATCACTTCCAGTAAAAACACTTTCCAAAGGCCTCTAGGTCTCCTCAGAATAAACTGGGATCTTTATCCTGCCTTAAATAACCCAATATGACCTTTACCTCCTTCTTTCTTCTACATCTACCTGTGGGTCGTGATCCCTAAAGGAACATCAGAAAACAGTTATTTACATTATAATTCACTACAGGAGCAAAATTACAGTTATGAAACACCAATGAAAATAACTGTATGGTTGGGGGTCACCACAACATGAGGATTAAAGGGTCGCAGCATTAGGAAGGTTGAGAACCATTGCACTACGGCCTTAATCTAATTCTAAAAGAAGCAACATTGTAGCTTGTTTTTCTTCTTTTCCTTTCTGTTGTTTGTTTGTTGAGACAAATATTAGGCCCAGTATATTCAGCATGCAGTCAAGGATGGCCTTGGATTCCTGATCCTCCTATCTCTACTTTCAAAGTGCTAAGATTATAGATTTGAGTGGCATTCACTCTTTCTGAAGCCCTCTACTATAGATGAACACATCAGTGCCCATCCAGACTATTCACTGGACATTTACAGTTTTCATGGGCTGAATGACACCATCCACCAGACCTTCACTTCATTGAATCATTATGACATTCCTCTGGGTAGCAACTACTAATTCCCATTTTATCTTATTATTTATTTGTGTTTTGAGAAGGGTTTTCTATGTAGCCCTAGCTGTTCTGGAACTAGCTCTGTAGACCAGCTGGCTTTGTACTTAGCTCAACACTTTCATTTTATAAATAAATAAATAAACTTTATTAATTTGTCATCTCACAAAAACAGACTAGATTGGTCTTAAGACCAGATTTATTGGATGCCACAGCCAAGATTCTGTGACCTAATGCTATAGTGTTTCAAAATATAGCCATATGCATGAACGTGACCAAACTTTTTAAAAAATTAGTTTATTTTTATTTTTATGTGCACTGGTGTTTTGCCTGTATGTATGTCTTTGTGAGGTGTCAGACCCCTTGGAACTGGAATTACTACAGATAGTTGTGAACTGCCATATGGGTGCTGGGAAATGAACCCAGGCTCTCTGGAAGAGCAGCCAGTGCTCTTAAGCACCGAGACAACTCTCCAGCCCTGAATGTGGCCAATTTTAACACATGTCAATCTCTCCTGTCAAATTTCTACGAGCCCTTTTTTATTTTATACTAGTATTTGATAAATGAATAATGGGTGAATAGGTATGCAAATGAAGTATCTCTAGTGTTAAGGGAAAGTGATGGGTAGGGACTTAGTTATTAAAGGATTTTTATTTTCATCAAAAGTCTCTCTCTCTCTCTCTCTCTCTCTCTCACACACACACACACACTTATTTTCATCTTCACAATACTTTTATCTGACAAGAACTATGTTCCTTTTTCAATTGAAGAAGCTAAACTGAGAGACTAAATATTCTAATCATGATTAATCAGCTGACTAGAGGAGGAGCTGGAATTTAAATTTAGGCTTCTTATCTCAGACGTCAGTACTCATCCCTATATCATGGCTCCTTAACTCTAAACAGTTATATGAAGTTGAATCTTTTTGTTTGTTTTGTTGTTGTTTTGGTAAGGTTTTTGTTTGTTTTGTTTTTGTGGGGGAATAGGTTTCCTATGGCACTTTTGGCAATGCCTACTGGCACTCAGTGGTTAGACATCAATATATTAAAGAGAATAATAATGAGATCGAAAAAACTTGGAATATTTCAAGAAATGTGCTGGTAATGAGATGACATTTTCAAAACAACTAAAATGCCCCCAAAACCCACTTTAATGGGTTCATGTATTTCCTCTGAGCCATCATTGGGGGAATTAGGATCACATGGCTGTGTAATTAGTATGACATCCAGTAGCTCAGCTATTACTCTAGGACAAACTTGCTCAATAAGTAGAACTTGGATAATGGAATGTAAAAGACAGAATGACTCAACCTTTACTCACTTTGTGGAAAGTTCTAGAAACATATAGGTCAAGAAAATTACAGTGTGATTCAGAAAATGGAGCCATTGTTAAATTTCCAGGCCCAGAGAAAATTATATCAAAGATGGCTGTAAAAGCCAGGTTCAGATCATATCAGTAAGTAAAATATACCCAAGTGATGATAAAGCCCAGAAAGTCTCAGATTGGGCCAAAAGTCATTTTCTGACTCACACAGGAAACACAGAGTCTGTCATTGTTCTCTTTATGTACAGGTAGGTTCTGCATTAACCAAATCATCTCTAATTTCTTTTCCTTACTTAATCTCTAATGTCTTCTTTTGCCACATCCTTCTCAAGTATTCCAAAATCTGTTTATATCCTACTATTTGCATTGGTTTGATATTTGAAAGAAGTAGGTCTGAGGCCATGGAAAATTAGCTTATCGTGATTTATAATTTATAATGTGCTCCCCACAGAGCAAACACAAGACTGAACACAAAGACTGAATTCAAAGAGGTTCCTTCCTCACATCATCTGTACATGTTCCTTCATACCATTCACAATAAACTAGTTCCTCAACCATCCCTGGCATCCCATCTCTACCTACTTGTAAACAGCACACTCAGCCAACCTTCTTCCAACCACATCACCCACATATAACTGATACCCAAACCCTGCTCTGAACTGACTCTCCATACATGTAAATGCATTCCAAGAACATCTGATGTTCTGCTTTTAGTATGCCAAATTGTATCATGGCAAAATTCATCTTCAGAACTCCTTGGCTGTCTGAACATCAAATTTGGAATTCTCTGTGTGTGTTTATATATGCATATATGCACGTGTGTGTGTGTGTGTGTGTGTGTATTATTTAACGGAAGCCAGAGGAAACCACAGTAAATTTTGAGACAGTGTATCTCACTGAACCTGGAGCTGACTAATTTGGATAGCCTGGCTGGCCAATGAGCTCCAAGGGTGCAGGAAAGCCCATCTTTGTCCCTCCAGCAGTGCAGTTACAGGTGTGTGACATCACACTTCTTTTACGTGGCTGCTAGGGATTTGAAATCAGGTCCTTAAGCAGATAGTTTAACAACTGGACCACCCTCTAGACCCAGGAATATCAACATTAATGTTAATTAACATGATAGTTTTATAATTACACATCTGTCTCCCACACTGGACTAAGAGCTACGAAAACAGCAGACCTGGTTCTTATTTTCAAAACAACAATTAAAAATAACAATAATAACAACTAATACATAAGAACAGTATCTTTGCCGTGCTCTGTGCATCTCTGCATAAATGAACTTAATGAAGTGGATGTTATAATGGCCTTTTTCTCTTCCTGAGGCTCAGAGAAATTATTTATCTTGCTGAAGTACACATACTTGTCAGGTGACAGAAATGGGGTCCAGGCTTAAGAAACTCGACTACAGTGTTCTTTGATGCCTCCATGGATCAACAAATTTACAAACTGTGCATCATAAATTCATTTGCCAGACAACCCCAAATTAAGAAACAGTCTACCAAGTCCCAGAACTGTACCTATCAAAACTGGTAAGTTCATCCAAAAGATAGAAAGTCTCTAGAAACTGTCAAGAATACAGAAGCCTAAATGATGGCTGCTAATTCCAGGTGTCATCCTGGGACCACAAGTGAAAATGAAGGGTACTTTCAGAATATAAACTTCAGGTAATGATGAGGTGCAGATTCCAGTGCATCACTTACCAAAGGCATGTTATGACCCAGGTTAATAGGAGAAATGGTTCGATGGGACCTTCTGTAACATTTTTGTAACTATCCTGCAATTAATTATCCCAAGGTGACAAGTTTATTTCTTAAATGACATTTTTAAATAGCTTTTTTCTTTTCTTTCTCAAATGTGGCTTTTTAATTTGATATGCATGCCAATCATGTGAGAGTTTTGTTAAAATGAGATTTTAATCGAAGCTCCATAATTCCTAATTCAGCCCAGGTGCTGCTGGTGCCACAGATGATGCCAGTACATGGGTCACATTGCCAAGTTGGCAGATTTTGAAACACATAATAGTATTGTCAAATGTGTTTAAATCATTTGTATGTGTGATGAGGTTATTTCCACACAGTAGTATTCTTTACATAATTATCTCCTAGACAATTCTTTTGGTAGAAAATCCTGAAACACTGGCCATAGAAACCCAGGTATAGTTAATAGTTTTAATTTCAGTAAAAAAATATGTCTCAAGCTATATTCTAGGAAGAATATGCCCTTTTCCTAAATCAATTTATTTCCCATGCCTCCCCGCAACCTCTCTTTCTCTGTGGTGTGTGTTTATACATCTGCATTGAGAAAGATAGAGTGTTAATCAAAACGCATGTTCAGCATCAATATTACTGAATCACTTCAATACCTTCAGCATCCAGTGTTTGTCACAGTGTAGTATGTTGCTAATAATCTACTAACATCTAAATCAGTGGTTCTCAACCTTCCTAATGCTGTGACCCTTTAACACAGTTCCTCATATCATGGTGACCCCAACCATAAAATGATTTTTGTTATTACTTCATACTGTATTTTGCTACCCTGTGAAAGTGGCATTCAACTTCCAAAGGGATCATGACCCGCAGGCTGAGAACCACTGTTCTAAAGGATCAAAATTGCAGCAGCATAAAGTCTAATGGGGTGCATTAATTACCCAATACTTAGCCCTGACATTTCCTTGAAAAAATTGTTAGGGATTTGAGTAGCTGGGAAAAAGTTAGAGGTAGTTTTTGCAGAAATCCCACACTCACCATTTTCTTCATGGCAGTAGTCAAATCCTGCTACACTACACCTCCGAAAAACCATCTTATTCTCGGTGAGGGTTCCTGTCTTATCAGAAAAGAGGTATTGGATCTGCCCAAGATCTTCAGTGATGTTCAAAGCTCGGCACTGAATGGTAGAATCCATTTTTTCATTGTAGAAGTCTACATCACTTTGAATAAAATAGATCTGTCCAAGCTTCACGATTTCAATGGACACATAGAGTGAAATGGGAATCAAGACCTAATAAAGAACAAATAATTTAAAAAGTTATAGTCAGTGAGAGAAGGTAAAGATAGCTAGATAATGAGCATAGATATAGAAATTCTCTGTTAAGTCTGGCAGAAATTACCTGAAGCAAGATGATCATGGTCCAGAACACATAGAATCCAGTCAACACGGGTGATATGACACGTCCATCCGCCTCAGGGATGTTAAAAAAGAGCATGTTTTCATACCTGCCTAGCCATATTCCATGACCTTTAAAAAGCACAGACACCAAAAGGATGCTACAGAGTATGTAAACAGAGAACTACACCCCTCAAGAAAAACAGGTGAGAGATATGCTCTCAACACTAACTGTTCTTCAAATTCAAAGGGCTACATAGTTTCTCAGCCTTGACTCTCCCTCTTAATCTCTTCCTAGGTCCCTTCAGTACTATGGCAAAGTATCAGTGGATACACTCAACATCAGTGTTTCTCAAGCTAAAGGATAAGAGAAGAAAACATGTGGGAAAAAATTAACAAAAATCTCTTACAAAAACCAAACATAGATATTATTTTGGGGAAAAAAAAAAAACGTATCAGATGATACTGACAAGATATTAACAGATAATTGAATTTTACCCACCAAGTGCACCAGTTAAACACATTATGACCAGAAGCAGGACACACCAGAGGACATCTGTATTTGCTCTTCTCTCTAATTTACTGCGCTTATACCGTGGCCCACTATTGTTCAGCATTGCTTTGGTCTCATGCCCTGCATGGAAAGAAGAGTAGGTCTGAAAAAGTACAAAGCAAAAGCAGGGAGCAAGCATAGCAGTTAAAAATCTCTCTGGCACTGAGCCAAACCCTTGCACTCCAGTTGTAGAGAGGGGGGAGTGATAAGAAAAGGGGTCAAGACCAGGCTACAGAAACCCACACAGACAGCTGACCTGAACAAGGGGGAGCTCATGGACCCCCAGACTGATAGCTGGGAAACCAGCATTGGATTGACTCAGACCCCCTGAACATGGGTCTCAGTTAGAAGGTCTGGGCAGTCTAAAGGACCTCTGACAGTGAAACCAGAATGTATCCGTGGTGTACAAAAGGACTTTGGGAGTACTTTCCCCATGGAGGAATACTCCCTTAACCTAGAGGCAAGAGGGAGGAGTCCCTACTATAAATGACTTGACAGATTTTATGATCCCTCCTGGAAGGCATCACCCTCTTTGTGGAATTGGGGGGTGGGAGTGGGATGGGAGGGGTTCAGGGGACATGGGAGGGAGAGGGAACTGGGATCGATATGTAAAAAAAAAAAAAAGAAGACATTATAACAGAAAAAGAAATCTCTCTGGCTGACAATTTAATCAAATGTGGCTTCATAATGTTTTGTCAGTTTAATCTGTGGCTTATTTAGGGAAACCAGGATCTGTGGTTAAATTCATCAGGGCACAATTCCCCTTCTGTTGGTTCCGTTTTGAGTAAATGAAGAATGTGAACACATAGGAAGCACAGAGAACACGATAAAGGCAGGAAGAGAACAAACCTGCATAGACCACGATACCCACAACAGCCTCTGTGTTTCGAATGGTGCATCCCCTTAGCAATAAATTCTCTTTGCCGAGGCCCACCCGTTCTTTGTTGGAGTGTTCCCTGGAAAAGAGGCAGCATATAGATTTACTTTTAAATGGCAAATGTGGGGAGGTAAAACAACAGTCTATCCTGGAAGTTTCTATACCCAGGTGGTAAGTTTGACAGCTCAGAGGTAAAGCTTCAAGACTCTGGCCTATTTGCCCCTGCTGTGGAAGTTAACCTGCTGTGGGTATCAGAAAGCAACAACGAATTGCAAATTCCCATTACTGCTAGAAGTTGTTATCTGTCACATTCCATTGCTGCAAGAACTCAATACTCTCAATAAGTTCCTGCTTTTCTAGGACACGCTGCATTTGAGAACTTAATCGGCTGTGAGGAGACAGTCTTGATTTAGAAAAGTAGTAGCTTTGATTTGGCTGAAATTAAGAGTCCTGCTGGGCACAGACAAATGGTGGCTGCTTAAGCCATTAGATGAAAGACCGATGGGACACTGTATAATCAAAGGTGAAGGCTGACACAGCCAATCTGATAATGGGAAAGGGGACATCACAGGCCTCCAAGTTATGAGAAAGGAAGTGAGGGACCCAGATTCTTCATCAGAGAAGTACGACCTGAAGCCTGCGGTTTCTGCAGCTCTGCGATGCCTCTAGATTCATAAACAATACTTTGTATGTATGGCTGGATAGTTGGATGTATGTATGGACATATGTATGTGTACCTCTTGCCATTTTTAGAGACAGAATCCAATTCATTCATTAGGCTCTGAAAGTGCCTAAGGACAGTTTACAAAATAAAAGGGCCAGAGAAACAAGGTAAATTTCACGAGAAACAAGGTAAATTTCATGAGAAGGAGGCAGTTGGCCAAACCCAAATGTGGTGAGTGAACCAGGTCAGCAAAACTGGCCTGGCTTCCTCAAACAATGGTATGAGAGATCAGAAGGAGAAGACAAGGCTCAACTCAGGGAGGAGTCAAGCCACTCAGCCAGAGTAGGGTAGATGACTCCATTTCTTGGGATAGGAACATTAGAAATTGATTAGCTAAATATAATGTAATTTGAGAAACGTAATCAGTACTGTTTTGAATAAGACAGTTGCCAGAAAACATTTTTCTTATCGGTTGGAAAAATTTGAACAAATTCCTGGTATTAGATGAGATTAAAGAATGGTTTTGATTCTTCTCAAGAGGAATAATGGCTTTATGGTTTTTGTTAATGTCCTTATCTGCTCAGAGTATATAGACATATACGCACAGTGAAGTTACGTGTCACAGGCCTGGGGAAGGAAGTAGGAAAAATGGCACCACTGTGAAGTGTCGAAGGCTAGCGTGGGACTGCATGTCCATAACAGTTTTCTCTCCAATTTCACATATTTGGAAATTTGTATAAGAACCAGTTTCAAAATTATCGAAGTAACTACATGACTAAACTATGACAGCGATAAGAGTGCAGGGCAAAATCAGTGAAATAGTTACAAAAACAAGCAGAAATCACCTTTCACACTGTGAAAATGCCATCTTCACTTTATCATTAAATTCTGGTGGTTTTCTAAGCAATAACCTGTCTGTAAGCTGCCGTTGTTTCTTAGAAGTACAACTTGTCAATAAAACATACTGCCCTGACTGCAAAGAAATTAAGTAAAAACCCTACAAAAGTTTCATTTTGAGAAGAGAAAGGAAAACAGATTGGCATTTTGCTCCCCACGTTACAGGCTTTGTTCTAACGGGGTCTGTGCAAACTGATACTGATTCAAGAGGCAACCCTGAACCTAATCTAGCTCAACTCCTTCAGTTCGTTCATTTTATTTTGGAGGCTTGGTTGTAAGTAGGAGCTTTCTCTTTAGCCCAAGCTGGTCACACATTCACTGTCAAACCTAGGCTGGCTTTGAACCCGTGACAATCCTCCTGTCACCGCCTCCAAAGTGATGGGTTTACAACTCTCTGGTTTTTAGATACATGAGGAAGTTAAGTCTAAGAGTTCACATTTACAAATAGCACATGTAAGTGTGCATTGGCAAGTCCTCACTGATGCAACATTTGCTGTGAAATCCACACAGGGAGAGTTTTAAAACACAAAAACATCATTTGTAATTTCTTTAGCTAGGGTCAGTTTTTCCTCCCTAGAATCCACACTCCCATCATTAATTCATGAGGGACATTAGTTTTTCCTTGAATGTCTTAATATGCTTTAAATGTCCAGGGAATGGGATCAGGATAATATTGGTCTTTAAAAAATAGGAAATTAGGTGGGAAATTTTCTCTAAGAACTATGTCTAATTTTTTTCTTGTAAAAATAAAGTTAATGAGTATTACTTGGTGCAGAATAACAAAACATCTAAGTTCTGGAAGCCAGGTTTGAGATTGGGAAAGACCCCAAATTGCAGGCATCTTTGCAAAGGGTTGAGGATGACATTCTAAGTGTTGAGAATATACTGCTATGCCTTCCCACACTCTAAGACCAGCTTCCAAACCAGTGCCTAACTCTTTCCAGTCATAACTGTACACCTGCTATTCTAATTCCTATGAAGACCATGCTAACATATCATTTATGACTGCAAAAAAATACCTCTTTCCAAACTTTAACATCTATTAGGTGTAACATGGAGCTCATGAAGGTGGGCATGCTGATACATATCTGTCATCTCAAGAAGCTGAGATGAGAGAAGAAGAAATTCAAGGCAAGCCTGGGCTGCATAGGGAATTCAAGGCCAGTCTAAGCTGTATAGACCCCAAAGATATTCTTATAGCACTGGAAGAGATTATAGCAATACCTTTAGAGGGTTTTATTTAGAATATTTTATTATACAGGAAAATGAGCATCTATTAAATTACTTAGGCCTCTAATGATTTACATTAGATATGAACACACAAAAGCATTTCTGAACTAACTACAATTTCTTTGGTGCCCACAAAAGTAAATTGTTACTCACAGAAAACCTCGGAATCTGCTGAGGTCATTGTTTGGACTTTCACATTCTATCCTACTGGAAAACATCTCAGGATCAACTTCAGAGTCCTAAAAATATTTTGCCAATATTACAAAAGAGAAAGAATTCATGATTAAATCTCAATACTTAACAATGTATCATTTTGGTCAACTCTCTTTAATACATGTAGTAATTAAGGCTTCTTTTTTTTTTTTTTTTTTTTTTTGCCTCAGAGTGTATGCTGTAAATCTCTTAGAATGAAGAAAATATAGACATAATTATGGGACTCATAATGGATCAGAATGACCTTAGAAGTATCATAGGCATCTGCAGAAACAGAAGGAGCTTTTTCAGATTAATCATGTGATACAAGTTACATGTTGAAGGGCACACAGGCTCTGCATCATAGCTTGTGCACATGGAGCAAACATTAGTGTTAATAACTATGGAAAACATGTTGTTATTGCCTATAACCTGATGGTTTGCAAGAGTCAGAGCTTGTGGCAATAGCAGAGACTACATAAGTATTCTGTCTCAGCCCGAGTTCATGAACAGAATTCCCAAATAAGCAGGACATAAGTATCTCACAAAATCCCCTAGAGAAGAAACAGATACTTTTGTTACTGTGTTATGAAACTAGTTGGGATGTGGGCAAGACAACTCTTAAAAACACTGTCTGAAAGATGCGGCTTCATAAGAACGAGACACCAGCTTTGGCTTGGTGGCTCATGCCTGTAATTCCAGCACTTAGGAGGCTAAGGCATGAGGCTTGCTATGAGTTTCCTATGAGGTTTCCTATGAGTGAAGTTCAGGCTGGCTTGGGCTACAGACTATCTTCTTGGTAAAAGATAGTATGGCTATAGATGTTTGAGTTATATTTTTATATCACTGCAGCAAATATGAAAAACATGAATATATGATGATATGATTTGATTTGTTAATGATTCCTACTGAATTTGTTGATTACTAGAATCAATATTATGTATGTTAACTATATTAACTAATTCCTTTCTCACAGTCCCAAGAGGCTGCGTGAACAGCTGGCGAACAATCCGACCTAAAAACAGCTGAGGAGACATAGAGAATCCAATAATTTGCCCAAGTTCTGAAAACAAGTTGCAAATTGCAAAGGAAGTAACTGTGCTCATGTGGAACTGAACCCAAAGTGTGCCTGTTAGCCACCCGACAGCAGCATAACACTCATTTAGTGCTGGCATAGAATTTTAAGGTGTGCAAGATGTTGTCAAAAATCATAGGAGTAGGGCTGCTTATAAAAGTGACAAAGACAGGGAGGTGGCTTAGAGGCAGCTGAACCACAGAGATCTGCATGAAGAGCCACAGTTGGAAGGAGGGGTCTAGTACAAGATGAAATGCTAAGGCACATGAAGGTGAATACGGTTTTATTTATGTATTAAATAAAGTCCAACTTAGTTAAAGACTTAAATTTTAAAATCCTGTATCTCAGGTGCTTCCAGACATCGAGAAGGGAAAGTGATGCTTAGCTATGAGCATGTTTTCCACATGAGTCAAACAACAATGTTAAGAATGAGACCTCATTTCCGTGTTAAGATGAGGAAGCTCAGTCATAATGTATTTGAATAACTTCTCAATATCATTACTTTGTGAATAAAAGACATATCAGTGGCAGAGAAAAAAATGTATTTATTCAAATCTGTGTCAGTCTAATTTCCCTTATTACAGAAGATGAATGGCCTAGAAGTTTGTGGCATGAGAAACCATGAGTGTTTTTAAAAGCTTTGACATATAGGTAATTAGACATTTTAGGGACAGTTGTGAAAACACAAAATAAAAAACCCCAAGAGTAAGAAAATAAAGTTGGCAGGTGATTATTTCTATTGCAAATGAGCTCTGTTGGATTCCTCTAATGCAGGACTACACAATCTGATTGCAGACCCAAGTGTTTTATCCTATTATCTATAAAACACAGTACACATCCCCTGATATCTGAAAATGGATTAAGTCTTCTGCGATTCTATCTTGCCAGGGGTAAAAATTAAATTAAAAATCTCTTTATCTACCCTGTGGAGATGAGCCCAGACTTTCCTAAGGAAGAAGAAATGTCCATAAAGCCACCGGAGAAGACATTCTTTACCTGCTCTGCATACCCACGCACCACCTGCCTCTGCTTTAAATTGCTCTCTCCATCAAGGCCAGAAGTCTCTATGTGACAGATGCCATCAGGGTCTGTGGAAAAGAGTAAGACCATGTCTGCAGGGATGATCTCGTTACACGAGAGGCGAATGAAGTCCCCGACAGTGACATTTTTCCAGCAACAGTCAATGTACTTTTTTTCTTTCCTAAAATTGAACCGGGAGATAATAAAGATAGAAAAAAAAAATAGTAAGAGGAAACATAATTATGTCTTAAAATCTTAGGGAGATCTATGAATTTTTGTATATTAAATGCTAAAGGAGACACTACAGAATTGGTAAGGCCAAAATTTCACAAAAGCCTCATTTGGAAAATTTAGTTATTAGGTCACTAGAAGATATACTTTCAACCCTTACTCCCTCATTGTGGGATTTCAAACCCTCACGCTGTTTGAACACAAGTCTAGAACTGAATTACAATTAACATCACATGAATACATTCACATGTAGAACAGTTCTTGCATGTGATACCGAGATCAGGTACCAAGGACCTGATGGGGTGAGAAGACAGGTCTGATCTCAGAGGGCTATATGTTACATGCCTACGCCGGGTAACTAAGGAAAACCTAATGAAATGCAATACCCACACAACATTAAAAAAAAAATGATCTAACACATCATCACCTCTAATTCTCATTCAACAGAAACAAAAGCAGCCTCCCATATCTACAGCCTCTGTATCTGAGGATTCCAGCAACCGCAACTTGAAAATATTTGAGAAGAAAAGCATGTACTGAACTTGTACACTTTTCTTCCTGATAATTTAACAACTACTGACATTGCTTTTGCATTGTATGAGTGCTGTGAGTATTCTAAAGATCAGTTAAAGTGCACAGGCAAACATATAAAAGCTGATGCTGCAACATATCATATGAGGAACTTGAGCATCTCTGCACTTTCCTGCACTCTCCTGTGCTCTTCCCAAACACTAACAGAGGAATTTACTCCTGAGTCTGCAGCATCTAACCCCTGCAGGAAAGAACTGTACATTTTATCCCTTCCAAAAATATCATTTCCCATTCTATACTTTCAAAACGTTTTATTATATTTTACTTGTTTAGTTAGTGTTTGCATACATGACATACACTTGTAACCCCAACATTCAAGAAGCTAAGGTCTCAAAAATAAGTAAGTAAATTGCAAAGCTATTTATTTCTATTATGTGTATGAAGACAGAATTTGTATTCACTCCCTAAAATTCTGGGAGTTATTATAATCTAAGTTTTAGGACATATTGAAAGTTTTTAAATCATCAGATTAAATGGAAATGCTGCTTTAAATTATTTGAATAGCCTCTGCTATACAAACTACATCACCTATGTAAAGAAATGCTTAGTTGGAAGGGTTAATAAATGTAAATAAGTAAATAGATTTACAAATGCCTAATTCACGATATCAAATCTAACCAGGAGAAATCTTTGATTATCTTACAAATTTGTTAATTTACAGACAATGGCAAATCCTTATATTTTTTTCCTCCAAAATTTTCCCTGGTATCTTTGTATACTATTAATTTTTTCTATGAAGAAAAGTGACATTTTTTTTTTAAGAGCTATAAGTGGGGTGGAGAGACGGCTAAGCTTTTAAAGGCTAGGCTCACAACCAAAAAGAGGTAGAGGTTAAACTTTGAAAACTCAGTCCTATATGCCACACATACCTAGGACAGGGTTTTTTAGGAATTCTAGAAAGTTCATTCTATAGAAAATGGTGTCACTGAAATTCACAGAAAAGAAGAAGGAGAAGGAGGAGAAGGAGAAGGAGGAGGAGAAGGGAAAGGAGGAGGAGAAGGAGGAGGAGGAGGAGGAGAAGAAGAAGAAAGTATGTCCCTACTTCTGTATGCTCATTCCTGTGACAGAGTGACAAACTATTGAGCAGCAGCCTAGTTAGTGGTTAAAACAGACAAGAGACCAATGGCAAGTTACTGAAATAATTCAAAGGATGGATGAAAAGGCTCAGAATTAAGGTGGTAGGAGGAAAAATGAATAAAATATTAAATGAAGACATAATTAAATAGCAGAGAAAGCCATTTCCTAACTTGTTACATGCAAGTAACTTCAAGGATGACAGAATGATTCCTCATTTGCATGATGGGGTGATAGCGGGTGCCTTTTGCCATGTCCCAGATTGTGGAAGTGACTAATATCATCTGAGGTGAGACAGCAAATTCATTTTAAGAAGTTTTTATGTAGCATAAATTAGGCAGTTGAGGTGTACAGCTAGTATAAGATTATTCTCCAGATGTTGTGAGTAAAGACATGGATGTGGAACCCTGTGGTACACAAAGGGTAAGTGGCAAAAGGAAAGGGGTGGGGTACAAGTATCCTTAGTGGAAAGGTCTTTAAGAAGACAGGGAAACAAAAGGGCATCCAAAAGGAAGTGATGCCATAAAAAGCAAAGGAGTAGAAAAATTCAAAGAGGAAGTGATATTAGTACAAGTCTACAAAGGGACCCTGTTCAATTAGGACCAACAAACACACCTATGGTGTTTGCTCATCAGGAGGTCTGGTGGGCTTTGAGAAGGGTGATCACATGAACTCTGTTGAGAGGGAGAATGAAGGAGGAACTGCTGGTGATATGTACATGTCAGAAAATATGCTTGACCACTGAGGGAATGCATTGTATCCACTATTTGTTTAAACCCTCCCATTATGCGAATAAATGGTCCTCCCAAAGCTCAGGGATTGTAACTCCTAGTTCATGGTACCGTTGGGAGGTGGTTTAAGAAATGTGTCCTCCCGACTCAGAACCCCCTGAACATGGGTCTCAGTTAGAAGGCCTGGGCAGTCTAAGGGACCTCTGACATTGGAACCAGGATGTATCCATGATGCACAAAAGGACTTTGGGAGCACATTCCCCATGGAGGGATACTCCCTTAGCCTAGAGGCAGGAGGGAGGGCCTAGACCCTGCTCCAAATGACTTGACAGATTTAGATGACCCCTTCCAGGAAGGCATCACCCTACATGTGGAGTGGGGGGGGGGTGGTTGGATGGGATGGTGGAGGGTGGTCAGGGGGCATGGGAGAGTGGAAGAGAGGGAGAGAGGGAGGAATGGAGAGAGAACTGGGATCGATATGTAAAATAAGAAAAATAAATAAATAAATTTTAAAAAAAGAAATGGGTCCTCATGGGAAGAAAGTATGTTATTTGGAGTGTGTACTTGAAGGAATTATTGGGACTCTGCCCCCACCCCTGCTCCTTCCCCTTCCTGGCTGTCATAAGGTGAGCAGTTTTCTCTGGCACATGAAACTGACATGCAAGCTGTATCACCACAGACCCAAAAGCAATGAGCAGAAACTTCCCAAATTGTCAGAAGAATCCTCTATCTTTTCAAGATGATTCTATCAGATATTTTGTCATAGTAACACAAGCCTGACCAATCTCTAAATCTTTCCATGCCAATCACATAAAAGACACCAGAGTTTGCTGATTTGGTCTTATGGCATCTCTACTGTCACAGAAACTTTATGAATAACTTCTATCTTAAAAACAAGCTAAAGAAAATCATGTCATTTGTATTAGGTCATCCTAACTTAATTGAGCTAATACAGAGCTTAAACATTTAATTTTGACAGCAGTGTTTATTATTTTCATATGATATTTACCTATAGAAATGAACTACTTTGTAATTGGCCAGATATTATGAATATGCATCAAATGTCAGCACTCTTATTCCAAAAATTTGCTTCATTTAACAGCCCCATGTTTTCATCCTAAATAGTATGAAAAATATTATGTCTTCTACAATCTTTTTAATTCCACAGGCATTTAAGTTAGCATATGTAAATCAACATGGTATGGCTTCACAGCCTGCTTTTATTTCTTTTTATCTTTATTGTTTCAAAGACAATTTGGGGAAGAAAATATAATAAACATTATTTCTTCTTTAGCCCTGAGCAAAAATAAATTGCATGGAATATACATAAAAAGATATTAAGTTACCCAGGTCTCTTATAAAATGCAGTCATGAAGTGATAAAACAGTATTAACAGACCAGAATAGTGCATTTCATCACTAAATGTTGATGTAAATCATCTAAGAGTTCCCCAGAGAAAAGGCTGTACCAGATCTCCCATTGGGCAGTTAATATCTAGGAGACAGAGCAATGCTATTACAAAGTCTCACATGCTAATTAAATGACTTGCCTAGGTGCCAAGAAACCCTCTTGCTAACTGCCATTAACCTGCCCCATTGTAATGCTAGTGACTAACCCACTCAGCTTTTAAAATATACTCATCCCTGTCTTTGCTGTTTTATTGATTATATTCATGGTGAAATAAATTGGACATTTAGCTAGTTTATGTAATCTGCCCAAGGCTACAGAGCTAATAAGTGGAAGAAATCAAGATGATAACATTTTAGAAAAATTCAGAAATCAAAGATATTATTGACTGTAAACTAGTGGCAAAAGTCAACAAGCATTTATACTTATAAGAATCTATATACAAAATGCACACGCACGTATATATTACCCACTAAGGCACAGATATAGTGCCCTCCCTTTTTTCTTAAATTTAGTGCTAACTGGTTAATTTCAAAACTGGATTTTGTCACTCTGGTCACCTTCCAGCTAGTGTGCAAAGGTCAGAATGGTCTGATGGGCCACCTATCCAGCATTTCCCAAGTACTCAAGGGTTACTGAATGACTCTAAAACTACTTTAGTATTTGGTAGCATGTATGTATACTGGGCTTTTTGTTTGTTTCCTTAACCAACAGCACAAAAATTAGAGGTGATTTTTTTTCACCATTCAAGTCATTTCATGTCATCTTACAAAGATTAAAAACAAATTCTTGTCCTTCTTTTCTCAATAGATCTGTAAACAAATGTTGTGAAAGCTACTGACGAAGTCTAATTATGAACAGAATACCGAGTCTTGCAGGCTTTATCATGATTGCCACATCTTCAAACAAGCTTCTCCTAAACCTTTTCTCTTTGATTCTCTTGTAAGAGAATCTCTGTGATTCTCACTAGTTGCCCTGAGCCATGCTGTTCATTAAGTATTCACTCACATCTAAAAAGAAGCACTATCAGAAGCATCAAGGTTCAAAACTCACCCTTACCTGAGTTCTCTCTTGAATGCATGGACTTTCTCTTTACATACTACAAATGAAGTTATGCAATAACTGAATTCACCTGAATAAACCCTCTCCAATGGAGGCCTCGGTCGGATATGGCTGCAAAAGGAGGCCCCGGGTATGGTTGCAATAGGATGCATCGGGTGTGACTACAATAGTATGCCTTGGGTGTGGCTGCAGTAGGACGCGTTGAATTTTATGTACAAAAATAATCCTATTCTGTTTTCATAACCCTCCTCCACAGATAACTGATTTCTCATATTCCATTTACTTCTTTGTATGTATTCAAGTTTTTCTTTTTCTCTTGAACCCTCATTGAGGTTCTCCTATCCAGGCTGGCAACTATCTTGCCTCAGTCTCCCAAGTGCTGAGATTACAGGGGTATGTCACTACACACAGATCTCCAAACAAGTTCAGATCCTTTCAGTTCCTCCAGTTACTGAGTCAGAAGTTTTTTGTTTGTTTGTTTGTTTGTGTCTGAAGTGCTTGCTTGACTCTTATTTCCCTGTAAGATTTAAATAAATTAAATTCACTGAAAGATTTTAAGACGTGTTAATTAAAATCAGTAATAATAAACGGGGGGGTGTAACTCAGTGGTAGAACACTTAGCTAATATGTAAAAGATTATGAAGTCTTAATTCTTGGTAGCAAGAGAGAAGATAAACTCAAAACAATAACAACAGCAGCACAATAACAGTCCTGATTATACGCAAGTGTAGAAAGACTAACATGCTTCTAAATGCTATAGAATATTCCTGAGGAATACACCCATCCACTTACCTACTATAAACTTTGGTTATTAAATTGTTGATCTGCTTGTCAATTTTGTATTTTCGGTAGTCTTCCAAGCCATCTTTAATTGCAATAATTGTTAGCACCACCACCAGCGGCAGCATCGTGATTTCCTTTTGGAAGGCTTCTACCAAAGGCACCCAGTTCAGGACCACGAGAAACAGAAAGTATAAATTGGCAGCCCTGAAAGCCAAGCACACACAGGACATTTGCACAGAACATTCCGAGAGCTGAAATAAAAGAGGCCAGTCTAGGTTTTTGTTCTTTTGCTTAAGTCACTGTTAGATGGTTTCATAGGTCACAAGACAGGGAATTAGCAAAATCTGACAAATATGAAGTATTTATATCTACCCAGGACATTGGGCTTAGCTCATACTTTAATAAATATAAGATTTTTTCATTAAATATGGAATATTTAATGGAATATTTGAATGGGTTAGTCTCAAGTTATATATACTCCTTACTCTTTAAAAGTCAGACTTTGATGATTCTTCATGGGAGGCCTCACCCTTCCTGGGGAGTGGATGGGAAGTATGATAGGGGGTTGGTGGTGGACATGGGCGCACGGGAGGGAGAGGGAACTAGAATATGTATGTAAAATAAGATTGTTTTTAATTTAAAAAAATTTTATTTTAAAAAAAAGTTAAAAAGAAAAACCTAGGCATTCTGAATAAGCACATTAGATGCAAACAAGGCTCAAAATCTAAAGGCTTAGAATGATCAGGGAAACCTGGGATTTTCTCTCCCTGAGACTTTCTGTTTCTTTTCACACTATTCAGAACCACATTACTGAGGGAAGTCTTCCAGCCCCAAAACTTTGCTAGTTTATATATTCAAATAAAAAAGTACAAACTAGAAACCTCAGTCCTGTATCATTATCGGGAATCCTCCTTTTGCCTTCAACTGTGAAATCCTTAAAAGCACAATCTATTCAAATGTGTCCTTCGTCATCTCCAATTTATTCAGTTCTGAAGTTTTCCTTTGTAACTGCTTTTCTTAGATCTGTGGCTTCAATTATCTCTATATGCATCACATCAAAGTCCACAGCTCAAGGTGAACACTGTAAATTTTGAAGTTAATTTACTCCTCAAATGCACTAGATTAGTCTACAGATGTAAACACCTGTAGCCCTTAAGGCTATTACTGTCACAGACTCACATCTGAACTTCAGACATAACCACCATTCAGTAACTGCACACAGAACCCATGAAGTACAAATCATGAGAATCTCTGGACTCACAAAAGCAGCTCAGCGGGCATTTCCAAAACAAGAATCTGAATAGCCCAGTTGCTTTTTGGTCCTGGCTTTCCTGGTAAGTTTTCTAGTCGTCACATGCAACATGTCCATCAGAGGTTATTCTCTTCCACTTATTTTCCCAAAGATAGTTTACAACACATGTACTGGGCTGTCCTTCCCTTCATTCCCACGTTATTATAATCCTGGGTCTCCCTGACAACTGAGCAGGGTATATGCAGCAGCATCCTAAGTGTCATTTTTAGTTCAGTTTATTTCTAAGTCCTTCCTCCCACCCCAATTTGTCTCCATACAGATACAAGCACATTTTCTCTTCTTCAGAACCATGCCTGCTGCATGGAGTTTCGATTCTCTATCCTGACAGCAATACTCCTTGGGTAGGACAGAACCATCTGCCCACTATTTCCTATTGTCCCCAACACAGACACTAGGCATCATCAGAGGGGAAACCTCTGAAGCCAGGCTTCAAGCAAGGCTTCTTTGCTGAGGTCTTTGTGATCTCACCGACATTCCTTCCTCTACATGAACCATGCTTTGCCCATTCCTGGGCAGAAGACACTGCCCCCTCCAGAATTAAATTGAGTGTCACATCCCCTTCTACTGTTCCATGTAATAGTATGCTTTATTTCGAGGCTTCCACTCTGCTTTATAATAACTTTATAGTAACTGTAAACCCACCGTGCCCTCTCATGGTTTAGACACACATGTGGATAACCTACAGAATCCATGAGGAAAGTAGCAAGTTATACCTGCACTGTCTTCACTGTCCAAGACCTCAAGAAAGCTTCGATAAATGCCTGGTAAACTGAATTACATCGCTACTTCACTTAAAAACATTATTACATTTGCTTAAGAGTCCCTTTCTTTTCCCTATTATCAAGTTAGAAAAATACGCAATTAAAATGCAATATGCTTTAATAGAAAGGACACTGAAGCCAAATGGGGTTGGCCCAAGGCTATGGCATCCACTCTGCTACTGATCACCGGTGTGGCCTTGGCTGAGCCACAGATGATTTCCTATCTGAAGATAACACAAGGGTAACCTCATCTTCCCTGATAAACAGAAGACATCCTTCCAACTGTAAAGAACCGTATGAACCCCAGGCACCCTCACTCCAGCCCAGACTTGAATCTAAATTGCCTTGGATGATTATATGTTAAGCCTGTGCAGCAGGGAACGGGACCATGAAATTCGTGGGTTGGTGGGAATTTCAACAGAAGAATGAAGAACATCCTGAGATGTTACTGTCTCTGAAAGTACCACAGTACCTGTGAAACTGCTCAAATAAGTTTCTTGGCACAAAATTAAGAAGCGTGTACTTGGTTGTCCGTATCCGGTTATTCACGTAGGTTCCAGAGAACCTTTCATACTCATCTTTGAAGCGCGGGAGATGAGGTATGACAACGCGGTGCTTTCCTGCCGGTTTGGACATCTGGGAGGACTTGCCCCCACAGACAAGCAGGGAGGAATAGTTGTATGGCCTCTCATCTTCATCCTGTGTTCTCCCATTCATCAGCCGATGCCAGTGATGTCTGGCCCACTGAAGAAGCTCAGTCATGTCCAAGTCGCAGGGAGTCCTGGGTGGTTCAGATGATCTAGCAAACGAAAGCACACTTCCTGTAAGTCTCTGTAAACTTGTAAAAGAGAGCACAGGTTTCTATACCAGACGAATACACAGCCTAGTGTTTCCACAGGCAATTGGGAATGTACACTGTTACTCCTTTTAAACTAAATTCTTGTTTTAAAGCATGAGCCTCCCTCCTCATGAAAAGACAGTATCTATAAAGGCCTTTCCTTTAAAAGTTAACAACTTTGGCTTTATGTATGCAAGTCTCTTTGTTTTTCTGGTCAACAGCTTTCTCCCTTTTGAAACTGGACTATGTGTACAAGTCAAGAAGCTGCCATGAAGTTTAAACGAGTAGCATGCAGATAATCTAGCCTAGGCCTAGAAGGCAGTAAGAAGTCAGTGTGGATCACAACATGGCTACAAGTCCTTCCCACCCCTGTTCATCAAGAGGTGACGCGTTCTTTGCCTGATGAACATCTTTTTTCTACTGTGATCATATGCCTCAGTCTGGCTAAAGGGGCAGTAGGAAGCAAGACACAGCAGGAGTCTTCCTTAGCACCTTGCTCATTCTCACTGCTCTCCAGAACCCTTTCAGCACCACGTGACACACTTACACCAATGCTACTGCACATGTGTGGCTGAGGCCACTGGCTGTCAGCTGAACACCAACATGCTATTAATGCACTCAGATGACAACCTAGAACAAAGAGGAGCAGGAATGTCCCCAGATGAACCGAACTGAAAAAAGCCACCTACCAAACTGAGTCAACCAAGGTTCTCTGCCAAACTCTAACTGATGCATAATCCTATCTTCATTTTCTTTACTTTTAAGTGTTTCTCATTGTCCCATAAATTTGCTGTTGAAGAGGGAAAGCCTAGCATTTATTAAGAGTTAACTACATTCCAAACACATCGCAAAACTTTCTATGTACATTATCTTAGTATTAAATGTAGAGGAAGTTTCTGTCCCACCCAATCCTTAAGTCGTTCAGTCCCAAATAAACACACAGAGGCTGATATTAATTATAAGCTATTTGGCCTATTTCTCAGGCTTATTACTAACAAACTCTTTCAACTTAAATTAACCCATAATTCTTATCTATGTTTAGTCAAATGGCCTGGTACCTTTTCTCAGAAAGGATTTCTCATCTTACTTCCTCTGGGTCTAGCTTGTGACTCTTTCTTCTGCCTTCCTGTTCCTAGTCTGGTAGCCCCACCTAAATTTCCTGCCTGATTACTGGCCAATCAGTATTTTATTAAACTAATATGAATAACAAATCTTTACAGTGTACAAGAGTACTATCCCACATCAATTAAATCAACTATGGCCGAAGAGATGGCTCAGCAGTTAAATGCATTTGTTCATCTTTCAGGTGTCAGAGTTTACTTCCTAGCACCCATGGCAGATGGTTCACAACCTCCTGTAACTCCTGTTCCTAGGGATCCAATGCCATCTTCTGGCTTCTCTGGATACATGCATACATGTATGCATACAGAATACATGTGTGTATACACACATGTACATACATAAAAATAACATAATATATTTTTAAAATCACATCAACCCTATAACACAAGTAGGCATAGCCAATTCAAATAATATCTTTCTGAATTAAGAGTTCAATGTTACTGTGATTCATTTGCCTATGTATTTAGAGGACCTGGCACTTGGAAAATGTCCCCCAAATTCAGAGTAGATAATGAGCATGCCTTTGAATATGACCCAGATAGTTCATGGTCCTTGATTTCCATCTTGATTTATCAAAGTTATCATTTACATTTCTACTGCTGGTGTGATGACCTAGGTTTCTTACTTAGGGAATCTGTAATGTGTCTTTGTCATCTGAATTGACAAAATTCCCAAATGAACTCCGATCTGGGTATTTACAGATTTTATGGGGCAGGGGGTGGGGAGGGCCTGGGATATGTGCTGACACTGCACTAGGCTAGAATACAGACCTGATAAAGACCTGAAAGGCATGTACTTACCAAACACAATCCTGCCGTAAAGTTCTACTTAAGACACCCTTGTCCTTTTGGAAGATTATTCAAGGTGGTTTTCTTTCTAAGCTACACTCTAACTTTATAACTTCAATACTAATTCATTTTTCTAAAATACTATACTAATCAGAAGTTAACCGTTTTCCCCTAAGGAAACTGAAAGAAATTAGACTCAATTTTTATGAATCTAAAATCCTAAGTCATCATCTACCAGCATGGTCATTCTAATCACCAATATTTGAAAAATCCATTCTCAACAGTACATTTGTTCACTGTGCATTGGGCCTTATACAATCCAAGGTATTACAGCTATTTGACATCATCTTATTCTTACATTTATAAAAATACACTAAATCCCAAATAAATAACTAAAAATCCATTAGATCCCTTAAAAAATTCACCTAAAACAAAGCAATGAAAATAGAGTAAAAACATGCATAAATTTGTTCATTTATTTTCCAATATGTGTGTGTGTGTGGGGTGCAGGGCTGAACCTGAGGACATGTATATGCTGTACATTTCCTAGGCAAGCAAGCATCTTACCTCTGAGCTGTCTAAACAAGTTGCCCAGGCTGGCCTTCAACTCATCTGTAGCCCGGATCAAGCTTGACCTTGCTATTCTTTTGCCTCAGCCTCCCGTGTAGCTGATAAAAAGCCTCCACCCCCAATATCCCTAATGAAAATAACATAGCTTCCAAGGGCCATATCTTTGTCTCTGAATAGTGGCTGCTGTTATAACATACCCCACTAGAAAGGCAGTCTTATCAGTTTTATACATATGATAGGAGGAAATGTTTTCGCTATATTGGATCCGTCCTTGGGATCCTGTCCTCTAAGCCACCTACTCACAGAAAAGTAAACCACTGAAAATCAACTAGCTAAGCTGCAACTTTCCAATACAGTGTTTAGATGTCTACACCTGATATGTGATAGAAAAGCCTGATGTTTATATAAAAGCAGCTTAGTTTGTTTTTAAAGCTGTAACATGAAGTGTATCCTAAGTAACTAAGGTAGTTCAGAGTAAAGTCAGAACTGCCATAGAATAAGGAATCAAGATAAATGCCCCAGAAATTAATCATCATTGCAGAGCCAAATAGCTACTACAATACTAAGTGCTTTCGTGTGTTTTTACAGCACCAGTATTAGAAGCCATCATGACAAATCTCTATGCTTCTCTTTAGGAAGCTGAAGTCAGTATGACTTGCTATCATTTCTGCAAACTTTGGGTGGGAAGTTTTCATCTGCAATTAAACTTTTATTAACACATAACACTGCATGTCTGTCTGGTGTCCACATCCTCGCATGTGACAATCTAATCACTTGGCTCTTTATATTGCAGAGCAGTTCCTTGATAATGTAAACATAAGATTAAAGAAACTTGGAACAAATACAGGAAGTGTTAACTTCTGGTAATTCATGGTGGGTGCATCTAACTAACAACTTTACCCTTACAAAAATACTCTGTTCACACAGAAAGCCAGTCAAGAACCATACTTACCCCCAACTCGCCCAGTTCCAGAGAAGTAATGGCATTGCCTGGAGGACATTTCACTGTCTGTGTACATCAGTGTCTGCTTTTCTCTGTGCCTTCCAATACCCTGAAAGTCACATTGGAGTCCACCTCCACTCACAGTGTTTTAACCCTTCCTCCTTCTCTTTGTCAAGGGATTTCAGTGGACTGGCTCACTGCTCCACACTGCCTCTCTGAGCCATTCCACTCCTGACAGCCCAGCATTTTAGAGTTAGAATAACTCCATCTCATCAGCCCTATTGTCCATTCCTCAAAATTGACAGCTGAAACTGCATCTGGTAACACAGGCCTGGAACCTCAACTACTTGGAAGGCACGAGGATTACAAATTCACGATCAGCCTGAAAAATTTACCAAGCTCTTGTCTTAAAATAAAAATGAAAAGAAGATTGGAGAGGGCCAACAAGATGGCTCAGTGGGTAAGGGTACTTGCTGCCAAGCCTGAGGACCTGAGTCCTGGAAACCACATTATGCAAAGGAGAAAACTGACTTCCAGAAGTTGTCTGACCTTCACAAATGTACCTTGGCATTCACATCCTCTCCCCCCATCTCTCTCTCTTTCCCCCCCCCCCTCTCTCTCTCTCTCACACACACACACACACACACACACAATGAATGGATGAATGAATGAGTGAGTGAGTGAATAAGTAAATGAATGTAAAAATGGTTGGGGATATAGCTTTGTACAGAATACTTGCTTAGCATGCAAGAGGCCCTTTATCCAATTTTATTTTTTATTTTTTAATATAAACAGTAAGGTTTTTAAGGTTTTTAATTATTTTTACACATGTATCTTTGTCTAGATGTGGGTTATATAAACATGCATAAGGTCCCTATGTAGGTCTGGAGCACCAGATTCTGCTGGAGCCAGATTTACTGATGGTTATAAGCTGTCCAATATGGATGCTGGAAACTTAATGGAGTCTTCTGTAAGAGCAGTAAGCACACTTCACCATGAAGCCATCACACCAGCCACCATGTACTTTATTCTTCATAACTGAGTCTTAATATTTTTTTCAGCTAGGAGATTCATTCATTCATTCATTGCTCTCTGAATCTCACTCCTAGTTATAGGTCTGTGTCAGGTGCTTGTCTCATCTTGGTTTAACTTGGAAGATTATATATTTTGAGCCATCCATTAATTTCTTTTCAGATTTTTCCAATTTAGTGGAGTATGTCCTTACTTTATGTCCTAAAGTTTTTCTGAATTTCTTAATATGTACTGCAACACATACCTTCTTATCTCTAACTCTCTTAATTTGTTTCCTCTTTCTCTTCATTACTCTGGCTAAAATTGTTGATCTAATAATGTTTCAAAAAAACCCAACTCTTTGTTTCATTGATTGCCTTTTATTATTTTCTTCATTTCCATTTCATTAATTCCTGGCCTGGTCTCTACTTTTTCCTACTGATTGTGGGTTTGGCTTTTTTGTTTTGGTTTTCAGTACCCTGTGATGCACTGTCAAGTTCTGCAAGACATCAGTCTAACTGGGTGTG